ACAGTGAAGCTGATATGAAAGGAATGCAGACAATACAGAGCATGAGGTTGATCCCTCAGTGCGGTTTGACACGTACAATGTACACAAAGTTCATCCCCTTTGCGTGACACCGTCTTGTTCATGAGCACCAGCCCTGACCCCCTATAGGACCCCCAGCCCTGACCCCCTATAGGACCCTTTATCTAAGGCCAGCATGCCCCTTAGATCAACTGAACAGAAGTTTGGAGGTCCCAGCAGACTGCAGGATCAGAGGGGCTTTGTTGTCTGTTTGCAGTCCACTTAATGCATACGTGCTTCAACAACAACAACAACAACAACAACAACAACAACAACAGTGTAGATCTGTCATTGTAATGCCTGCACTGAAGCTGCATTTGGCCCCTCATGGGAGGGTGACTGGGATCAGACAGATCAGAGCAGAAAAACAACAGTAGGAGTAGTGTAGGGGTTTTTGTTTTGGACTTGTCCGCTGACGGCTCAATTAGGCCAAATTATAATTAAAACGGGAGGGCCCCACTTCCTCTTCATCTCCTCCTCTTCCTCCCTTTCTCTATCCCTGTAAAGGACGGAAACGGTGTAACACACAAACTGACACTTTCACCCTCTGACTCATCTCATTCTAATAGGAAAAGAAAACTGGCTTTTGTTTAAGAGCCAATTAGGGGCCACAGCTCATAATGGAGCGGGAGACAGTCAGAGAGGAAATGTGCACGAGCGATTAAATGAAATGAGAGCAAATTGGGTGAAACAGTGACTTTCATGTTGTCAAAATATAATGTGCAATTGAGATTTTCTTTTATCACAAGCAGCTTTGCTCTAGAGAGGAAGATGTTGGTCTGTCGCTCCGTGAGTTCCGAGAGATGGCTAATAGGAGCGTAATGTTACATAGTGATGTCCCTGTTACAGAAGTAAACAAAGGAATCAAATGGAGGCGTTCCAGACTCCTTCTGGAGGGAACACAGGGATTGTAGCCTTTGCAGACCAATTACATGCACGGAAACCTATAGCACACACTACAGGAGAGGGAAGACAGGCCTCTCATTTAATAGGATCATGCCACAACAGCAAACATTCATGGTGACCCCTTGACTTTCCTGGCGTCATGTCTTGAAACATTTGAAGGATTGTCTGAACATGTTTGGGTTAGATATTCTTGTTTCCCTCAGAAGGATTTTGTATCACTGGTTACACTCTGACTCATCATAAAGTGCAACCATTATCCAAAGACGTAGGGGCCCATCCTTTGGTTTATTACCAAATACCTGCAAAACTGACATCAGTCCAAAACTCTACTTTGTTAACTGCTCCTCAGATTTAGATTATAAACTGGAGTGACTGAGACGAAAGGGATTCAAATGTTAAGAAGAATAATACAGCCTCTGTTCTTGGCAGTAAGACGCTGTGCCTCACTGTGTGTGTGTGTGTGTGTGTGTGTGTGTGTGTGTGTGTGTGTGTGTGTGTGTGTGTGTGTGTGGTCCCTGGTGAGATATCAACTTTCCCTGGCCCACAGTCACTACGAGTTATGAAGCTCAGCCTTAGTTTGATCAGGAAGGCTACCTTTATGTTAATTCTACTTTCAACAGCCTCTCCTTCTTAAGATAGGCTATATAATATCATGAATGGGTCTTATCACCAAAGACCATACACGTAAATACACCTTTATCAAAACGTTGTCTCTCCTGATTACAATAGCGTTTTGTAAAAAGAGGATAGATAAATGATCACCACATGAATGCAGTATTTAGGAACAGCTGCTTGCACACTTGTTGCTTTGGTAATGATTGATACACACTCCAGAGGCTTGAGTTGTGTGGCAGCCAGCTTTGAGGTCAGGGAAGCAGAGTCAGAACTCTTCAGTCACGCTATCTCTGAGAGGGTGTTCCCCATCTGACCCTGCAGTAAAACACTCTAGTAAACACAGTCGTATGCCAGCATGTCACACAGAGTAGTCAATTATGAACTAATTGGTTCAAAATGTGGTCTTGTTAAGGGTTTAGGGCAAACTGGTGAACGAACATTCTACCACACCATGTTTGGAGGAAACAGCACTCGTTCCTTTCCTCCAATATGAAGCTACAGCTAGCATGGGATTAGCTTAGCCTAGCAGCTAGCCTGGGTTTGTCCAAAGGAAAAATACAGGTGCAGCTACCAACACCACTCACAATTTAACATGTCAAACCTGATCTGTTTATTACTTAAAGAAACCCACAGTGAGAGAACAACAATGTCTTAATTTGCAAGCTTTCGAGAAGTTGGCACTGGAGTGAACCAAGCTAGCTGTTTCCCCGGCCCAGTCTTCATGGTAACTGTGTGCTGGCTGTAGCTTCATATTCAGAACACAGACACTACCTTACTCTCAGCAGAAAATAGAATAAAACATTTTAAAATTCCAAACTTTTTTCCTTTACCTCAAATCTCCCTCTGCATGCTACAATATGGGACCTGTGTCACAATACCACCTTTTTGTGAGCTTTTTTCAACAGATCATAATGAGAACACTTTTTCTGTGCTTTGCAAATAGTAACAGTTCTATTGGCAACTTAATGATAATGGAATAAGAGTTTAGGGAAGACGTCTACAAACAATTTGTTTCCCAACAAGTTAATAATCTCATTTCAAGCTGACTCTTACCTGCATTCAACCAAATCCCGCTCAAACAGGGCTGACCAACAATACTACCCAAACCTCAAACTGATATCAGATAGCTCCCTATACCAACATCTTGTCCATTACAGATTCTGCAACTATGCAATGTGTTTGAAGAGATTACTCACCTGCTATATTCCATTTTACCGGATGATAACTGTCAGTATGCAACACAGTCTCACGGCATTTCGTGTTATAGTCACAAAATGAATCTATTGATTCGTGTTCACCAATACGATTTCGCCATTTTTTTCGTGTCACACAGAACGATTTTAAAAGCAATGTAAATAATAACAAATTAGAAGGAAAAACAGATTTAAAAAAAACAGATTTCAGTATTCTGACACAGAACGATTTTAAAAGCAATGTATTTCTATTGGTAGGATGTTTTGTGCCTGCACCAAATAATAACAATTTAGAAGGAAAAAAAGATGACAAAAAATACAGATTTCAGTAGATTCTGAGGCTCTTTGCCCCATTTCTTTTCCTCGCAGACGGCAAAAAAACTCAGACATTATACAATTTAAAATAAAATGGATAGGGTTAGGCTTAGGGTAAGATATTGAGTAAGAACATGTGTTTATGAATCACACAGCTTCTGGTATTCCAAGACCCGACCGGACAAAAAGACGTGGTGCAGACACGAAACATACAATAGAAATACATTGCTTTTAAAATCGTTCTGTGTGACACGAAAAAAAGGGGTAAATCGTGTTGGTGAACACGAATCAATAGATTAAATGTTGTGACTATAACACAAAATGCCGTGAGACTGGGTTGCAGAATGATGATGGGTGCGGCAGCTAGACCATTCTCCAGCACTGACACAGCGTTGTGGAGAGAGGTCTGGCTCTACAAGATTACTCATGAACCAAGGCACTCGGACACTTTTTTTAATACTTAGATTGCATTTTGTTAGTGCTTGGATGTGTTTAAGATATATGTCACTACAAAATGTAGTCATATTATAGTGTAGGCTATACTGTACCATGCTTGGTGTTGAAACCTAAGGCAAGAGGCAATCACCTCACTGACCTGAAATGGACACAAGGAACTCTGAAAGTACAGTTCAGTTGGTTTGGGAGCGACAAGGTAAGTGAACTGGAAAGAGAGAAAAAGAACACTCAGTGCGACAGGAACATTGAGAGAAAGGAGCCCAGGCCCGGGGAGGATGATGACATGCTGGGTGGTGTTGTGGCTCTTGGTGATGTTCTGACTGATTCAGAGTGGCATGTTGTTTTTTCTTCACGTTCACAGGCTTCTGCTGCTATTCCTCCATGTGCCCATCAGTGCCTCCTGTATCCTCCAGGGATCAAAACCTGACAGCCGAGGAAAACACAACAAAGTAAAACATGTCACACCAGATCCTGTTACCCCAGGGTGTGAAGAGGCAGGGCCCGTCTCTTCTTTAAGTGTTGAACTGTTTCCTCTCAGTAAAGAGCATCCTAATGATTTCCTGTCCAAATGCTTATCTTCTGTCTGTTGCTAACCGAACAGAGTCTGAAGCTTCTGTCTTTGTTGTCAACTAGAAGTTATCAAACCTGAGGAAGAAAGATTATTTATTATTTATGAAAGAGCTAGCAAAACATTCAAAAAAAATGTAGAATCCAGTTATCAGCTATTTTATTTTTTTCTGGTTTGCATAGGCCGTGTTTCCACATAACGTACATATTTTACGTATCCTTCATTAAAGGATTCTTGAGAATACATTTTAAATATATACATGGTTAAAGCTGCAGAAGGTGCAGTTATTTAGTGAGGAGTAAACACGAGGCACATATTGCATCGGGTGGTAAATTGGCTACTTATGAATTAGCAGTTAACAGATTAGTACATTTCTGCCAGCATTCCTTTCTTGTTTTTAGCAACAGGTTGCCTCAAGCTGTAATATGTTCTTCATTCTTAGAAGGCAATAGTTGTCAACCATCAATCTAGTTCTTGTATGGAAGAAGAGTCAAATGATGGACCCAACGCCTCCTTTTTTAAGCCTGATGAAGAAAGTCTGGGTTGACTGACAGATGATTACCACCTTTGTAGTAGCGGTAATCAAGAATAACCCCCCCCTGCCTGAAACGCATCCACTGGACTCCTTGGTTTACTTCTGACACAGTGACATCACTATGTAACACTTGCACTCCAGCTAACCAATCAGAGCAGACTGGGCTCTGGTTTCAGACAGAGGGTGAAAAGAGGTGCTGCAGCACAGGCAGTATGAGAACAATAAAGAGCTTTGTGAACATTAAAGCATGAGACATATCTAAATATGAATATGAACCTGAAGACGATTAAGACCTCTTTAAAGCTTCTTTGCTGCTGAGGGAAGTCAGATATCTAGATAGACTACAACACATTCATTTATTTAAATAATTATCTTTATTGACCCATCTCTCAAACACACATTCATCAGTCATTCTTACATTCCCAGCCTTTCACAGTAAACTGTTATATAATAACAAACGTTTTCAAAAACAATGCCAACATGTACATTACATCAATGAAGTGGATTCATCCACTTTGCAAAAATGTTAGTCATTTTAATTATAATTACATAAAGATGTGTTACATAGACATACTTTTTTTTTTTGGCGTTAAGTCACAAAAAGTAGTTACTAAAACCAAAACAGTTCTGAGGACATCTTTTCACATCTGTTGGGCCCATGCAGAAATAAAACAAATTCAATTCAATTCAAGCAAGCCAACAAACCAAACTAAATAAAAGGACAATTTATAAAACTCCAGTTTTTTAAGCCGTTACACTGGATGCCAGTCCGCTTCAGGTGTGTCTTCAAAACAACCAAACAATATTTTTGCAGATTTTAGCCGCCAATTTATTAAGCATTTAGTACATTTTATATCACTGCCATCAACTACCATGATTACAGCTATCTAGAGGCACCACAACAGCACACTTGGTACTCATTTTGAAGTTTCAAATGCATTAATGCAACCACAACTCAAGCTGATTGGTGCACTTCAAACCAATGTCTGCCTGGACTGGACAAAAGCACACTAGAGAAAAAACATCATGTTTTGGGAACAGTCCATCGAATAAACGTGATTCGTCAGTAACGGACTACAACTATGCATGTTTTTAAAAGCAATGAGTTTGAAGGACATCATTGCATTTTAAAAATGTTGAATACCACTAAAGAACTCGTCACGTCCAATCAACATGACACCATCTGTTTAATACCATACAGCTACAGTTTGAAAAGTGCCCCAAGATCGATGGATAATCCATTTCCAATTATTAAGCGTGCCAATTCGGTGTAGATGTCGAGGTAGTTGGGAAATGGGTGAGAAGCTGTGACAATGAGTTTACCGTTTACCTTATCTCTGGAGGGTTTGTTGATTTTTAAACTTGGCATTAAAAAGATAGACGTTTTGTGGCAAGGCTTGCAACACACACACTGACAGAGTGCAACTGCATTATACCTTCAGTCACTACCACCTAACCCTCACCCTAATGTAAATGAAAGGTTAACCAACATGGTGACTGTTGACATACACTATACACTGTTCTCCCTGTGCTCCTCCAGTGTGTTAGATCTCTTTCTCCAGTAGATCTAGTCAAAACTCAGCCATCATCGAGGTTAGCCTCACCCCAAGTGCATCAAATACATTTCTTATTTTATAGTCTTAAAGATCTAGTTGAGTCTGAGTCTGCGCCATGTCTTAAAAGTTAAGGATTCAAATAGGCATTGTCGTCTTCAAGTGGCTTTCCTAAAACATTGAAATGCTATAACTGAAGCACATGTGGTTGGCTTCCTTATTCAGGGAAGACAAAAAATAATTAGCATGGAATATAGTTTACCAATATATTCTGTCCGCATTCATATAATCAATGGCTACACTTCCAAAGGTTCCCTAAGAGGATTCCAATCTCTCCCACATTCAGTCCCTTTGACTATCCAGTGCTAGCTCTTGCAGCAGTGCGGCAGGATGAAGACAAAGCCCAGCCTGTGATTAAATAATCAGCTCCTAGGCACTGGTTGAGTCAGTGGGAGAACATGCAGGGAGCTGCAGGTTCAGCTGCTCTCTCTGCAGAGCAGCAGGGCATGCTGGGAGGGTGATCTCTCGGACTGCAGCAGCCTACAACAAAAAAGGGAAAATATTACTGGGAGGATAAAGCAAGTTGCAGCCTACATTGTTATCTTCTTCTGGGTTTGTTTTTGACGCCATCAGTCGCAGCAAGAATGGACAGTGAAAATGAGCTTTTGACCGTATATTGGCATCATACCAGCAACATGTAATATCTTTATCTGTAGAATGTCACAGACAGAAAGACAGAATACCTTATTTTGGTAACATAAGGCTCTTTGCTAATATATTGTCGGGAGTGCGTTGTAGAAAGGGTAGCATCAGCCACACACTCATCCCTAAAGGTACAATCTGACTATACATCATCACGACAGATAGACATTTGAAGTGATGTTTCTGGCTTCCTGACATACACAAGTTCAACATTCACTATGTGGTCGACTAAATCTTAAAACACAGAATTTTGTTATTAATCAAACATTAAAATAAAGTGTTAAAAGGTCAAGTGTTCATCAGCACCTTTCTCATACGAGTTTGTGTGCAGGGAGTTGTCCTGGTTGCAGTGACTCGACGTAGGCCAAGGCACTCTGCATGGAGGTCAGGCAGTATCCTTCCTCTCCTATCAAGTAGCTGAAAAAGATAAGTCAACATTAGTTGATTATAAGAAATCTGCAAGTCAGAGAAAGAAACGTTGTGATTTGAATGCATGTACGTTTGAGGTAAAAAAGATAGCAGCACATAAACTGAAAGCAATTGAATTTTACCAGACCTAAAAAAAAGACGAGACTCGACTGCCCAAAACATTTCTAAAAATCCAAGAACAGATTAGAGAATTTATTCATTTAGCTGAATTTACTTCATCAACATTTTCCCACAGTGAGGAAAGGACATCTCTTCTTGAACCTTAAACTATTACTTTGTGGAATGGATCTGCTTGTTTTTTGGAGCCGGTATAAATGAATTAAAAATGTTGGGCAGCATGATGTATGGAGGGCTGATACGTGAGAAGAACTAGTGATTGAGGAGATCTGTGCAGAGAGAGGAGAGGAGACAGGAGGGGGGGTGCATGTCAACTCTGGACGACCTTTGAATAACAAGAGCGTACCACAAGATCGACTGTAGACAGGAAGAAGACAGTGAGAGGTAGAGAAAATAAATTCCTTGTTAACTGAGTTCTGGATATTGAGAGTAAAATAATGTGGTGCACAATACCAACATATGTGTGCTGAAGTTTAATAACAAACATGCTACTACATACCTTAACAAGCAACCACTAAGAATCTTAGCTGATGACATCTTCATTTGATAACAGGTTTAGGTATTGCACTTGAAGGACTTTTGTCTCACTGTTTGACTTTGTGCAATACCCACTTTTCTTCTGTGCTTTTTTCTCACTGGTTTGAAGTGGATGTGACTTCCATACACCGATCAGGGTTTACTAACATTTCAATCAGAATACAGTTTGTAGGTTAAGTTACTGTCAGTGAAATCTGATCAAACAACAGCCACACAGTTATGATGAAGCAGATCAGTTCAGTTTCTCACTGTTAAGCTGCATTCAAATGATACCGTTAGACAATGCCGTTGTGTTTCTATGGAGAGTGGTGCTGCCCACCCAGGCTGAAGTGCTACCCTTTGTGCAGCTCAAAAGCCGCCAGGAAGTGCTGCCGATGCTGAAGCTAATTTTCATAGTGGGGAAGAGACGTCCGTAGATCAGCAAATATATATTTTTTTACTTAAAGGTGGGGTAGGTAAGTTTGAGAAACCGGCTCGAGATACACTTTGTGTTATATTCCATGGAATGCTCTTAACATCCCGATAGCAATGAATATCTGAAGTGCTTTGACAACAAATCCATACAAAAAAAACGTCATCTGTGGAAGCCGTAGTGCTGTAAAAAGCACGACCAATCATCTGAGCCGGCCCAGCTAAAGTAACTGGATGGCCTACCTGCCTGTCAGCCTTCCATCTGTGCACAAACTTATCTCGTGCCCTCATTGGTCATGTGCGCCTTGGAGCAGGGGCTCTGTGTGGAAGTGGCAGATTTTTTCCGGCTGTGTATTTTCAAATTCTAGCGCACTCGAGCTGGTTTCTCCAAAATTACCTACCCCACCACTACTCAGTACGAATACTTTTTTGCCTTTATTTTAATTATTAGGGTCTAAGAGTTGTAAAATGAGCTTAAAGCTGAGCACAAGGGAAAACTCAAGTGCGCCCTCTCTATGGGACCACATACAGGAAAATTTGCTCTCCAGAGGCAGGGCCATTTTGTCTTCATGCTCCACTGAGCAACTCATAGAAATGACCAAGGCTCCGCCTCAAAGGCCCTCGCTGACTATTTCAAGCGGTGAACGACACCAAGGGTAGCGCTCAAAGTTTGAATTATTTTAACTTAGACCAAGTTACAGCTGACATTTCGACCCGCAACCAATCAGAAAATGTAGGTAGCGGCGCAGGCGAGGCAACCATAGAAATGTAACTTAAAGTGGACCTATCATTCTATATTTGAACAATATATTGTAGGGCCATACCTATATAAAGTATATAAATATAGTTTTTTTTTCAAAATACCAAACAGATCCTGCATTTCAGCCATGCCTCATTTCGCTCTATTTGCTCTTTCCAGCCCTGTTTTTGCAGAGGCTGATTCTGTGACGTAGCTTTAATGCAAATGAGCTGACCACGCCCCCCTGCAGGAGAGGGGGAGCGTGCTCTGATCAGCTGCTGGGCTGTCAGAAGAGGGGGAGGAAAAGAGATCTCCGTCCTCCGTGTTTTATTCTTATATGATTATATTGAGTCATTATTCATTTGTTTTAAAGCTCAATAAATAACAAAGAAGACCTTTGACCGGCACTTTTCTAATTTTGTCCGGAAGATTTAAACTTTAACGGACATATTGACCGGCGAAAAAAAATCTAACTGAAACTCTGCCGCACGGTCCCCTCGTCCCTTGGAAGAGGCGGAGAGGTGGGTGTTTGTCATCTGCTGGTGGACTACCGATTGCATTGAATTACAGCAGCAGGAGCAAACGCTTGCCTCGGGGAGGGAGAAAAAGAGCCACAGCTGTTTTTGTGGCAGACTACAGCGCCACTTACAGGCCTGGCATATGTACTACAGCACTCCAGTGCTTTCGAACGGCAATGCAGTGTGCGAAAAAGTACACGTCCCTCCGTCCGGGACGTGTTATTTACAATATCGGACAAGTAGATCTTTCAATTGACTTGTCCGGCGGACAAGTGACGTTTTTCGCCCTAATTTATTGACAAATTATTGATAAATTCAGTTTACAAAAGGCAGAAGTCATTCGCAAATTATACGTGTCCGCCATTGTTAGTTTAGAAATGTTAGTTTCGGTTCTGCTTGTCGATTCCTAAGGAAATGCATCTCGCCGTTTTCTGTACAGTTAGACGGGGTAGGGGCGGGAAGTGTAGCACAGTGGCAGGGTTGGGAAGCAAAGCTTGGTTCCGAGTAGGAACAAATAACAATTGTCCAGTACCGGGATTAATAAGAGTTGTGAGCACAGGAGGCGAGGCCGAGCCCGCGGACCGCAGCTCTCTCTCTCTATGCTCCGGATCATCTGATCGCTGCACGGTGCAGCTCAGCGTCTCTCTCTCTCTTTCTACACACAGCGGATCGGCTGCCCGTTTAACAGCCTCATCTTTGTCAAACTTTCTTATGTTCTTTCTCTAACACGTAATGAAGGTTATTAAGCGTTTTAGCTCCTGTGTTGTTAATATTGACCACCATTTCCTTTATGAAGTGAAGCAACCTCCCTGTCTGTGTCCTCGCGCTGTCCTCACATCCCCGGACCCCCAGACTCGGAGGAGCACAGGGATGTCAGTATTGTTTATGAAGCAGGGTATAGAAAGTAGCTACATTATTGAAATGAAAATACTATTTATTTACTTTTACAAACAGTGAGTAGCTGGGCAGCTGCAGCATGTGTATTGCAGGACATGTGTAAGCGTGCAAGCGTCTTTGAGTTGTAGAAAAGCGCTAGGCCTATAGGCTATAAATATAATGTATTATTATTAGGTTATGTCCTATGTGTTGGACATGTGTGGTTGGATTCTGTCTCACAGGCAGGTTGCAGTGTAACATCAGAGGACACTGGGCCAATTGTACATTCTCAAGCTGCACCACTTAGAACTAACTAAACAATGCAGAGATTATTTTTATATAATTGTATTCAATAACCGTAAGAAATTAAACAGTATGAAGTGATTTGTAAATAGGAATACAGATTTGACTTAATGTTTTCATAAATATATTTTTCTCCCAGTTTGTCATGGGACTTATTTTTACCCTCTCAAAGAACCGGAATCGAGAACCGAAAATAACCGGAATCGAAAAGCAGAACCGGAATCGTTAAAATCCAAACGATACCCAACCCTATGTGTGATGCAGTAAAATCTTACCGCTCACTTACGTTAGCGGTGTCGTAAAAACCGTGGGAAAATGTAAAATACGATGACCAAGAAGAAGATTCCAGTGGCCCCAATTTTTGTCCATTCTGGACAAGTGAAAAATGTATTCGGACAAGTAAATTGCCAAACTCACTTGTCCATGGACAAGTACTCTCTAAAAACTTTGTCTCACACTGCAATGGCCGTGGCCCAACCTCCCATTCCCCTGATAGGTGGAGAGTTGGCCATATAGACGGAGCTCCTCGTTCCTGACGTCAGAGAATTTTCAAATCTGTATCAGTCTGTATCAGATCCGTTGCAGCCCCGTTTTTAGAGATTTGGGTACGGAGGAAAAGAGAGGGTTGTGTTTTCTGACACTTGGTGAGTTCCCCGACACACCGGGGACACATATTCATGTATAAAAGACGTACAGAAGTGCATTTTGCATGATAGGTCCCCTTTAACTGGCTGTTTTCTGCCAAATCTTGCGATGGGCATAGAGCAAATCACATATAATCTAAATGCAGCCTTAAACATTGATAACTGTGGATTTTGTCCAGTATTTGTTTTATTTTATTTTGACTTCCTCAAGCTTCTGATGGATCGCACTGTAGAAAGCACAGTGTGATCCGATAATGAAGTAGCTGCAATAATGCCAAGAACAACAGTATTTACATTTTTTGTTAAAAGGACAACTTCTGGTATGAAACATAACAATTATTAAAAAAATCTCAAAAAGTTTGACTGATAGCCGACACAGCCAATAGTTTAAAGACTCCGTTATCTCATTGACTGACTTTGGAATACCAGAGCGTATCCACCCTCTTCAGCCCGGTGGCCAGTCTCCGTTCCTCTTGAGCCCTTCCAACCCACTGAACTATATAAACATCTAGTGGGACTTTATTTGTATTTTTATAGAGAAGCAAAACCAAATCCCAAATATCCTGACATTCCTTTGGCCACTGCCAATCTAACCAGCTGGCTTTTACAGTCCCTGTTTTTACTGCAGTGAGTAGACCTCCTGGGTGTGGTCCCAACTCACACGCAACAATAAAGTATCTCAAGACCACCTGCACTCCCCTACTGTGCAAAGCCCCGCTTACTTTCTTATATGCTTTATATGTGTTCAATTTTAGGTTGGCAATGTTGTCTTAAGACCACAAAACTTTTCTAAAGAGTGTGTCGCGCTTCACATCCGAAGAGTAAGATGTTATCTAGAAATTGGATATTGCACTTTCAAGAGCCATGTAATCAGACATCACAGGGGGATAACTATGTACATGCATACTTACTTACTTTTTGAGAAGGATTAAGATACAAATAGAAAAGTCTTAAATATTGTATCGGTACTTCTTTATTATCATCACAATTCTAAAATACAATATAAAAATGTATTGAAAATGTATAACAAATATTTACTGAGCAAGACATTTTAAAGTTGAAAAATAAAGTTGTCAATTCTCTCTTGTAAATAAATCTGTTTATTGTGATGGAACTACACTGATGGTGTGCAAAAAGCCTTTGAAAGAAATGCTTTATTACTAGCAGTGACAGGGATGGCTGTTTAGTTGTGTTGACCTTGATAGTCTGTGTGTGTCTGTGGACAGATTTTTGTCACAAAACTTAACATACACTATATAGACAAAAGTATTGGGACACTCCTCTTAATCATTGAATTCAGGTGTTTCATTCAGTCCCATTGCCACATGTGGATCAAATCAAGCACCTAGCCATGAAGTCTGTCTTTACAAACATTTGTGAAAGAATGGGTGGTTCTAAAGGGCTCACTGAATTATAACGTGGTACTGTAATAGGATGCCACCATTGCAACAAGTAAGTACGTGAAATGTCTTCTCTCCTAGATATTCCACGATAAACTGTAAGTGGTATTATTGCAAGGTGGAAACATTTAGGAACCACAGCAACTCAGCCACGAAGTGGCAGACCACATAAAGTGGCAGACCACATAAAGTGGTAAAGCCTTTTGTGTTCCAGCATGACTGCCCCACAAAGCAAGGTCCATAAAGGCATGGTTGGATGAGTTTGGTGTGGAAGAACTGGCCCGCACAGAGCCCTGACCCCCACCCCATTGGACACCTTTGTAATGAACTAGAACGGAGAGCCAGGCCCTCCTGTCCAACATCAGTGTCTGATGTCTACAAACCCTTCCCAGACGAGTGGAAGCTGTTATACTGCAAAAAGGGGACCAACTTCATTCCTAAGAATTTGGAATGGGATGTCATAAAAGCTCCTGTAGGTGTAATGTGTAGGTGGTCCAATACTTTTGTCTATATAGTGTATGTGCAGTTAAGATCAAAAATGATGTCTCCACCAGCTCCTTTTCAAACACCCGTCTATCGATCTGTGCTTACACTGCTTTACTAAAGTCTGTCTGCCAAACAGTTTATTTACGGTAAGCGTTTTTATTGAAAATAGTTACAGCCAAAAGACGACATGTTACAGCAGAGGTAGTGATAAGTCTGTGTGGGTTTGCTACGACTCACAGTTATCCCTCTCACATTCCACAGTCATTTGACTCCTTAATCGTAGTAGTGCAGAGCCTGTTTTAGAAGTACTTGTTCCTCTGCTCCTCTGGATAGATAAGAACTAATTAACTGTATTGTTCAGGGGCCACAAGTTTAGAAAACCCAGGGACAGACATTCCCCTAAACTGTTATTCTGAGGGGGTAGATTGACCCACTACTAGACCCTTCTTCAGCCTTATGACCACCTACTTGTTTGCTAGTTTGTGTTTATTGGGTAGCATTTTCGATATGCACCTTGATTATAGCACATATTTTTCATCATAGGATGAGAAAGCTCAAGATCTACGCTCCTCACCATGGACGCTTGGTCAAGTTTTAAACTGTAGGACCAATGGCGGGGGTCATCACTCAATACAAAATAATGTAAGACATTTTTTGCACTTCTTCAGCTTCAGAATCAGCCATGTTATTAACAATTCTGTCAATAACACATTTCACAAATAGATTTGTGTATCTGTCTATATTTGGAAAGTTCAGATATAATTATGTGAGGAAAAGGTGCTCAAATCAGGACCAAACAACAATCACCTTTAAAAGGTCCCCTATTATAGTCTTTTACAATGATATACTATAGGCCTCAGCTATAAAACATGTCTCTGAAGTATTTGGCTGAAACACCAAACAGATCGGTGTAGCATCCCATAAACCACTCCGTTTTCAGCCATGTTCAAAAAGTGCTGATTCTCTGTCTGTAGCTTTAAATGAGCTGCTGTTGGCCACGCCCCTCTGCAAAGTGATTGGTTCAAAACTAAAAATGGTGCTCTAGGAGGAGATTCAGGTGATAAGGTGGGCAGGTGTTACCTTGTTTGGTGTTGGCTAATGGTTACACAAGCTAACAAACTGTGGTGACATCATAAAGTGGCCAATCTGATCAGCTCATTTTCAGACAGGTTTTTATAGAAATGGATCAGGATATATTGTCCTGGAACTTTCTGAATCCCTTAACAGAGGGGACACATGTTTATGTATAAAAGACATGAAAAAGTGGATTTTGCATAATAGGTGACCTTTAAAAAAATAAATGCTGTGTCGTGTCAAAGCAGTCTCAGTGAAAAGAATGTAACCCTCGATGGACTCCTTTTCCCTTCCTGCCATTACACATCCATGACAAAAACGATTTGTATCTTTTCTCAGTTTTCCACATTTTTGTCATAAAATCCTATCATCAATCAGAGCTGTTACACTGATGATTATTGTGCAGGCTGGCTACAATTTGTATCAGGTTAACTTTAGGAACATTCCCTCTAAGTAACAGGCCATTTGGAAACTTTTTCGACATGGGGAAGGGTATCGTGCACACATACACATTTCTTCAAAATCGTGACAAATCTGTTATGAAATATTTGCTGCAAACAAAATACATTTTCCATTGTTTGTCATCATGATGACTCACCCTTCATGAATGAACTCCTCCAGAGCAGCACACTCAGACACCAGCTGAGGACACTGGCAGCGCAGAGCCACAAAGGACAGGATGGGCAGCAGGTCATCTGCACCGCTGTTCACCAAAGGAAGGAAGGTGGCGTTGAGATCAAGTCAAATAAGTAAATAAATACAGCACAAAGTCAAATAAAAATGGTGACATTGAAAGAGTATGATTGCATGTGCTCCCCAGAGGTCTGAATGGAAACTAAATAAAAAGAGTTCTAAATGGTTTGCGTGTTCAGGGATGGGAATGATAAAGCTTTTTTCTCCCTCTATGATCTGATGGGAGGTCAAATTGCAGCCTTGGAGATGATGAGGGCCTGATAGCATTCTCCCTGTGTGCAGACACTGACCATTTGTTTATCAGGACTCACACGCAGGGCCAACTGCTTGCTTGCTAGTTTGCGTGAGAAGGTAGGTTTCTGGCCCTCCACTGACCTGGCCGCATGCAACTGGATACTCTCCTCCTGCAGGATTGTGGAGGCGTGGACAGCCTCTTGTAACCACTGAGACCTCACATACACAATCCCAAGCCTGAATTATAATGTTGTGAGTTCACTACAGTAAACGCAGACACTGATCCCCTCACACTGAAACTGGTGTCTCTGCATTCCAAGGATACAATGCACTCTCCCCACATGCATGAACGCTGATTTTAATGAGAAGATTAGGCTCCATTATGGGTAATGGAATTCATTTCATATTAGTGAAACCAGTACAAAAAAATGCAAAAAAGCGTAGAGGGAAAAAGGATACAGAGGAAAATGTAGCAGCACAATAGAAAAGAGAAAGAAAGGGTTGTAGACAAAAGAACACAATAGAACAAATGAGCTCCCAGTTGGTCAAGGACAAAGAACTGAAAAGAAATGGAAATGCTGTTGAAGGAATTAAAGAGGGCAGTGAGTACAATACAACAAATGTGTGTGTGTGAAACTAAAGTGAAAAGGCAGCAGCAAAAAAAACAAAACAATGCTAAGCGCAGGTATGCAATACAAAGCAGTGGGCTGTACCCGAATATTCGACTATTCGTTCGTTGGCCAACTATCGGGTTTCAATTTCATTATTCGGATATTCGGTTTTTTTTCAAAAAAATGTTTTTCCCCCCCCTAAATGTATGCTATCAATAAAGGCGAATTGCCATATTCTTATACTATATTTATACTTTTGAATTGCACTGTTAAAATGCGGAAATATATACAATCTCAGCCTGTGCTCCTGACATCGCGTTCACTCACAGTTACGAACGCAAACGGCATGCTTCACACACCTGAACACAAAATGCCGAAGACTCCAGCTGTGTGGGACCATTTTAAATTGGACGACGGTAAGAAGAAGGCAGTGTGCCAAATATGCGACAAGAAACTGGCCGGTGGCACAACAACTCTGAAAAGTCACCGGATGCTGTAAGTACTAGCCTAGCTTAGCTTAGCTGTTGTCAAGTTGCCATGATGAAGCTGCTTTATCCGCCGTTTAAACAGTAACGTTACACATGATAAAATCGTGCACTTACTTTGCTTGGAAAATAGTTGCAAGCAAGCAACCGAATTGTTTTTTTATATTAGTTTTTCAATTTTATCCGAATAGTGAAAATAATAGGAGCAATGTGGGAACATCTGGGGCTAAGGCAATTATTGGCATACAGTTCGTTCATTTATTTTTCGTTCTTCATTTATTTAAATACTGTTGACTGTATCGGTAACAAGTGTTACCCTGTTAGGCCTACTGTTACGGCTATGTTATTAAAAGTAGTGTTGTTATAACAGAAATATGTGTTTTGTATCTTCAGGTTGTAAAACGTTAGACGGAATTTGGAACCGGATTTGGTCCCCGGGCGCTGCGCTGCGGCTGGGTTACATGCAAGAGGACACATTTAGTTTGAATGTATGCGAGTACTGAGACAATAAATAAATATACATCGTAATAGTATGCTCTTTCTGCGCTTCTGCTTAACAGCGTGTTGTCAGGTGTTATGAAAAAATGTTGAAATGTTTTATTTTTATTAATTAGAGCTGCCAGTGGCCACAGCTAGATATGCCATTATGAAATGATGAGCTAGTAGCTGTTCCTGTAATAAAGCTGCAATTTGTTTTACCAAAGATAATCAAGGCTATATCCTGAGATGTCAGACTCTTGGTTTCAACAAAATAAACGTGAACAAAATAAATGATTCATTCAGATCCCTTCCAGGGTTTGACCATGTCTTAGTCATGCTTCCAGGTAACAAAACAAATTCCATGATTCACTTTTGATTTGTTGTACCAGCACGTTGTGACCAAGTTACACCAGAGTACACAGAATAATCCCTTAACGTCACAACCTTTTGGGAGACAAACCTTCGAGGAGTCATGCCCGGTCAACTCTACTTTTATTCTGCCGTCTCTGATCACTTCACAGATATTCCAACACAAGCAGACAGATATGGAGCAGGAGACATAGCCAGTCTCAAAACTTTAAGGGTTGCTATACACACACACACACACAAGATTTTACAAGCCTTAATGATAAGTTATTATACACACATATTATATGCTGTTTTGTTAGTGACATCCTATTGGTTAATTGTTGAATGCCCTGTTCAAAAATAATCTGACTCATAAAGACTGGCTTTCCAAACAACCCAGTAAAAGCTTCTATTTTAGATTTCCATCCACTTTATGAAAGTAGCTCTACATTTGTTTACAATCATAATTATCAGAGGATAATATGAAGCCACAAACAGAAGAGCCACAATGGAACAAACATAAATGGATGCTGAAGACAAAGTTAAAGCCAAACTGTGTGCTGTCCACAATGTGTGCTACAACCCACTGAGCCTTTGTCAAACCCTCTGTGGATCATCACAGATTTCACAAAAAACTCTCAAGTATTTTTTTCCTGGGTCTGCTCCAAACCCAGACAGGTCGACCCAATTTTAGGCCTGGCAAGGAAGAGGCATTCTATAGGGGGACAACAGAGCCAGGAGAGCCCCTGTTGTGCCGGGCCTAACGGCGCACTGATGAGACCTGACAGGGCTGCTACCCAGGCAGAGATCCGTGTTTGGGTTCTTGCACTGAACAGTCATTCCCTCCCCAGCATCAGCATGGAGTCCATGGAGAAAGGGCTCTTATTTTGAAGTTTAATGATGAGTTTGAATAACGAATAACAGAATAGAACACACCTGAGAAACTACACTGTTCTGTATAATCTTATTAGATAAATCCTTACACTGTTGTATTGTATCGGTTTAAATATCATATTTAAAGTGTGCCCCTCAGTCCCTCAGAGTGTATTTGTATTTGCTTCAGAGACAAAGAGTTTGCTGTTATTGCAGCTGATGGATTACTCACATGGCAGCTGTTTTTGGTGTGGAGTCCACATCATGAAGACACCTGTAGTCCTCAGCGCAGGCACAGATCAGCCGTAATGTCCTAACTGTAAAACAAAAATCGCACAAGAAAAAAAGTGTATTAATATAATCACAATATGCAGATCCAAAAAGTAAAGCCCATATTTCCGCGATAACTATCAGGTGATGCTCATCATCAGTAAACCAGTGAAATCAAGTTCCAATGACATGTCATTTACATTACAGGATAAACTGAGACTTTATTCTAAACACGACTGAAACTGGAAATCAGGTCATGGTAAAGATACCCATTTACTTATTTGTAGTTTCCTTCCACTGAGGCTATAGTTTAGAGCAGGGGTCTGAACTAAAAGTCAACGAGGTCCAGTTAGAGAAAATCTCCCCATGCAAAGGTCCAGAACATCAAAATGTCTAACTTGCTTTATGAATTAGTGTGATATATATTGAAGTAGCTGCAGCTTTATCAACGTCTGCATGTAATCAACAACTGACTGCCAATCAAATAAAGAAAGTAATTCATAAACAACAATACTTATTGTCCATGAACATTGAACTATACAGATATACAGTAAATACTGTGGATATGTGTAATGTTCCTCTCGGGCTGCATTTACAAATAAAATAGAGGAAATAAATAAAATAGCATTTGAAAATATGTGCATCTTAAAAGTGCTTAATTTTAGATAAATAAAATAAAGTGTAGCAGCAGCTTGAGTTTCCCTTTTTCTTTGTTAACCGTTTCACCGTTTTAAAGTTTATCTTTCTTTCTCTCTTATATTGCAGTCCCTCACTCACTTTGTTTTATTCAGTGTGAGAATTGAGCTCGAGCTTGTCCTGCCAGGAGTTTAGATCTGGGCTGACATGGAGTCAGGGCCATTCTCACACACATGCAGGTGCTCATTGGTTACAGTGATGCAAACACAGGTAGGTGAAAAAAGAGAGAACTATTCGAAGCAGGAAAAAAACAGCGTAATACCATCTGACAAAGGCCTGTGCTATAATGCTTCAATTAACTGGCTATTCTTTATAATATACTCAGATCAATAGGAGACAGAGATGTTAAGTTATAAATCAAGGGTTTGTATTATTTACAGAAAGGGTGGGGAACCTTTTTCCTTTACATTTTTACAACATCCTCCGAGGGTCGTACAAATGATCGAACTCAACCTCTGCTTAAAAAAACTAAAATCACAGCCCATTCATTTCGCCTTTCTTTCATGCTGTGCAAAGAAAAAGCAACCTCTGAATCCAGATATCTCACCATGACTCACGCATGCATGCATGTGCACGGTGTGGCATGACCACCACAACACAAGATGTGTGCAAATGTATTTAGTATCCTATCCATGTGAACATGATTTAAGTGTGGGGGGACCTAACCTCCTCTAGGGGGGTCCGGGGGCATTTGTTTTTTAAATGTTGAAGTTAAAAGCATCAATCTGGTGCACTTTGAGAGCAACATTAAGAGATCTATGGATACATCTCAACACCCATATGAAACAGAACTGTAAGCAGATTTTTCTTTTTGGATATTTTACAAATCACTCCCCTTTTAAACTCTATTCTTGTTATTTTTTAACAACTTTTTTGTTACTGTCATATAGTATTTTATACCTGTTTTTCATGTAGTCTCTACTGTCTCATTAATAACTATAATGATCATATCAAGGTGTGCCTTAAGCTCCTCACTGAGCTGAGGTTATTTGAGCCTCTCAGGAGAGAGCTCTCTTCCACCTGGTTGTAGAAAAGCTCTTTAAATTCGTTAGCATAGCTAGCTAACCAGATGCTAATAACAACAGATCGCCACTGTGCTTACAACTAAAGAAAGACACAGCCACGAAAACACTGCGGCATGTGTACGGCTACTGCTCCTTATGGGTACTGCAATATTTGAAGGGCTGGAGCGGCGTTCCGGTGCTCTCTGTCAGCACTCCTTTCAGACGAGACATATACCACGTGAAGACCATGGTGAAGACACGTTACGCTCGTGTTGTGTTCAAGGAACCTGTCCTTGGCCAGGAAAAACAGGTACTCGCTTGTTTAATTATTTTTGCGGTCTAGTCAGTCGGACGGACCATCCCACCCCCCCCACCAAAAAAAAAATGTATTTATTGAATTATCCAATATCAACGTAAGAGCTTGTGCCTCTTCGGGGGGTGCTAACACTTAACCATAAAGTTATCGTTTACTTTCTCTGTCTTTATATGTAGATATGACTTTTTCTCCATTAATCTCTGTCACGTTGTTTCCAAAGCAACAACAACTTCCTGTGAACAGCGCTAACTCTCCTTCAAAATAAAAGCATGTCCATACAAAATAGGAAGCCAAGCCAAATTACACTTAAGACATACACAACTGCAACAAAAGTAACACACACAATGCAATATCCTTTTCAATTTCAAAGAACACACATTGGGTTGTATACATTAACAAATAACTATAAAACAACAATACTGTAGAACAGGGGTACTCAAACTTGTTTGTTAAAGGTCCACTTGGGAATTTAATACAAGGTCACTGGTCCGGATCAATGCCAGTAAAGTCCCCCCCCCGGAGCGGAGCAACGAAACCGAAATTAAGAAGCAGTTTTGGCGTGCTATGCATGGGGCCCCCTTGAGGGGGTTTCCCGACATGTCATTGCAGTAGATTAATAGGTGTTTCATGTTGTCGTTGCTGTGGACCTTCTTAATCTTTTTTTTTTTTTTTTTTTTTTTTAATATTTTGAAATTGTTATGTTTATTCTGGTTTGTATCTTTTATTTTAAATGTATTTATTTATTTTATGTTTTGTGAGCTGTGTGAATTTATATTGTATGTATCTCTCTATACAGCAATTTGGTCTGGAGGTTTTAAAGTGCTATATAAATAAAGTTGAGTTGGATTGGATTAATCTACCTTATTTGGGGGCCCCCTTCTGGTCCAAGCACTTGCCTGTCGGTAAACGGCGCCCCTGTATACACACACACATTCAATACATACATACAGTATGATGGCTTGAACTAGTGGGAGAAATGGCACTGTTTGTCTGTAGCCAATGCCTTGAACCTCGGCAAAAATGGCATTAGAAGCATTAGAAAGTCAAGGTAAACTTGCGGTCTGCAATGCGTGTCACGCTCGCGCACACAAGTAAATATATATGCACGTTCATTCTCACAATGCGTCAGACACAAGAAAATATACATTAAAGGGGACCTATCATGCAAAATGCACTTTGTGATGTCTTTTATACATAAATATGTGTCCCCGGTGTGTCGGGGAACTCACGAAGCGTCAGAAAATAAAACCCTCTCTCTTTTCCTCCGTACCCAAATCTTTTAAAAACAGGGGTAAAACTAGCGGATACAGATTTGCTGCCGATCTGACATCAAATCGGCAGCAGACCCACAGAAAATTGCTATCAGAAACAATGCCTGACGTGTTTTGGACGTAATCTCGTCTTTGTTTACATTAGCAAGCCTCGCTAACACTCAGAGCTAACCTGTACTGTAGAGCACATTAAAATGCAGGAAATAAAAAAAGGAACTCACCTTGTGATAAACCCTCAAGAGAAAAAGCATTTGAGCGCCATACTGTTTCAGAAATAATCTTTGATGTGGTTTAGAACAGGATGGTAGCAGAATTTAACTTTATCTCCGGTAGAATTCTGATCAGGCATTAGCTCCGCCTCCTCTTTTTTTCTTTTCAAGCTAAGGACCCAAAATCTACAATATGTTTCCAATATAGCATGATAGGTCCACTTTAATTTACATCAGAATCAGAAAATCTTTTTTTGTTTTTTTTAAATGTTTATAAATGGGACACAGGGTTCGGTCCGGATTGATTTGCAGTTCGGTCCGAATCCGGACCTTGAGAAGCCCTGCTGTAGAATAACAAAAAGAATGCCGTGAATAAACCGAAATACACGCGTCGAAGCGGTTCGCTGCTGATTACTACGAATATCCGCTGCTGATTACTACCGAATATCCGGAGCCCGAAAAATAGTATTCGGGACAGCCCTACAGGCTTCCTGAGGGAATCACATAGTTCATCTAAGAGTTTAACACTGCATAGAGAAGAACTTGCTGCTATATTCTGGTATACAAATATGTAGACATGTCGACTAATGTCAAATCTACCTTATATCAAAGATATCATTTTAAAGGTTTTGCAAAATTGACGCTTGACAATTATAACATATTGAGCTTACTTGTAGGGAGTAGCAGTTTGATGCTGCAGGATGTAACTCCACTGACAAAAAAATCCTACTTCCAAAACAAACATTTTATACTAACTTGCTTGTGTGAACTAAATGTTACACTTTGTAATACCTTCTGAGGCAGGCATGTCAAACACAAGGCCCGCGGGCCAAATCCGGCCTACCATCTAATTTTATCGCAACATTCACACGATTCAAATATATTTTTTAAAGTTTGTCAAGGCATTTCTGCCATCACTGTCTTATGTCACTGATTGTATGAATATAATGAATGACATGCTGATAGTAACACAAAAGGGTCCAGGACAAGGGGTTTTCGTCACATTTTAAACAAAGTCTTGTCATAAGATTACAAAATTATTATAGCCAAATTGAGATGATAAATACAGATCCTGATTTACTTTGCAACATCTGAAAGAAAACAACCTGAGAGAAAACACACAGTCCACATGGTGTCTGGCCTCTTTCGGGCTGAATAGAACCATCAGGTGAGAAGCTATCTGTCCTGAAAGTCAGCCTTGGGTGAGGGAGAATAAAACAACACAATGTGACTCACCAATGCATTCCAACTTCCTCTGTGGACAGCAGTCTTTGAGCAGGAGCTTCAGTTCCTGCACAGCAGACTCATATGGGTAGGAACCTTGCTGGGCGTCAGAGTCTTCGGGGAATAGTTTGGAAGGAACACCAACATCTCCAGGTGAAACATCCTGGTACAGCTTCATACTCATCTCAAAGGCCTGCTCCCTTTCTCTGTAGACCCTCCTGAGAAGGAAAGAAAAGAGCTAACTACACTGAGAAAATGTGGGGAAACATTTCAACAATGTATTCAAGTGAGGCTGCCAGGCTTTTTGGAGGATGAATGGTATTTGCGATTAAGTAGGCATTACATAATCTTTCAATTGTACAGAGTTCATTGTTATGCATTCCACATTTTACTGTTAGCAAGATAAGAAATCATCAATGGTAATTTATTCACAGAACATTTAAAAAAAAACAAATATGGTGATGGTGCAGAAGTCTATTTGTAATGGCTTGAGCATTTCAATTTAACAATTTGACAGTGTTCCTGGGGGGAAGCCTGATGGGATTGTCATATTTGCAGTGCCACCATCAACTCATATTAGTTGGTCTGGGTAAGGGACTGGGAGTGAAGGAATATGGGAACCTCCCACTTGTTAGGTCAATGTTTCTTTCAATTGGAGCTGCAGAGACGTTGCAGGGGGGCATTTGACAGGGGGAACTTAGGTCAAATCGTTTTTAGTTTTTTGACAAAGGAGTAACTAAATTATTTATTCATTACTAAATTACAATGCAAAATACTAAACTGAAACATTGTTAATAACATTTCTTACGCCTGTGCTTTTCCTATCATAACAAATCTCAATAAATGACAGTCCACGAAGATGTATCCGAGAATTAAAAGGATATGAAAAAATGTAGGGCAAGGTGTACAACATTTTGACATGGGTCAGTTACTTTACACTTTTGGTCTACACACTGTGAAACCAGGGTTGCGGTCGGATAATCCAAAACTCAGCTCCTAAATTCTAACCCTATCTCCTATTCCTTGACCTCTGAGTGAAACGTCACGGGGTTAAGGGATAGTGGATAGGAGAATTCAAAAGGACTTAGGAGAAGAGACTGCGGTACTTTAGAGAATCCGAATGCACTTTCACTATCCAACGTGTTTATGATGCACCAGCGGACGTCATTGTGTGCGTCTGCTGCTGTGGGGAAACTATGGAAACTACAGTTTTCTATACAGCGGACTACAACATGGATGTTTAATAAGAACGAGGGACTACTGTAAACTCATCTAGAGACTCTGCACCGTGCTCTGATGCTGTTGTTTTATGCTTTATGAACGTGGACAACAGAGAAACATATTCTTCATGACCAAAGTTGGAATTGAAATAAAAAAGGAAAGTGAAACTTATGCTCGTCACCCTCTCCCTCCAACGTTCATATTTCTCTTTTTGATTATAATACTGATGAACGTTCAGAAAAAAGCACTTTGGCAACTTACCACATAAGTTTTAAAATGCTTAATAAGCACCGTAACTTTCATGATATCATTTCTCCGTCATAATCGGTTGTTTCCGTGAACGGCCGACTGTTGAGTGACGGCAAATGCTGCGGCTGCAATGCATTGTGGGGCAGCATTTTCTCCTCCTTTCGGTGAAGGAGGTCCAGTGGTTCCTAAGCTAAAGGAGGTTATAAAGGGAGTTTGAAACCTCCTTTCCTTTCATTTGGAGAATTGGAACGACACTTATCATGGCTGCCAGTGAGGGACTTCCGGGTCATTTCACTCCGTTAGGAAGGTTCCTAAGCTAAATGCAGGGTTCTTACACCTTTTCCAAAGTCAAATTCAAGCACTTTTCAAGCATTTTCAAGGTGCATTTTCCAGCTTTTCAAGCATCTTACAGCTGTTGTAAATTACATATTTATATACATATACTCAAATGATTATTTCCCTACCTCACATTAAATCAGATGTTCTTTATGCTATAAACAACCAAATGTGTGTTTCGTGATAGCCTTCTACTTGAGGATGAAACATTAAAGAAAAGAAAAGTAAGTTTAATATTTCAAAATGAGTGATCTGTACGTAGACTGGGCCTCCCATACAACCTGGCTGAGCCAATATACAACAATCAGCCAAATAACTTTTCAATACATTATTGATTACTATTTTTGAGGTACTTTTAGGTTGGCAGTAAACATAAGTCAGAGGTACATGGTGTACTTTTACTCCACTACATGTATTTAATCCCTTTAGTTACTTCACAGATCTGGATGAATGATGTGAAATATAATCAAGTGTTAAATCAGACTTTAGTTCCACCTGGAGTAAATCCAGTACTTCTACTTTAACTCAAGTACAAGACCTGAGTACTTCTACTTGTAATCAAGTACAAGACCTGAGTACTTCTACTTTTACTCAAGAACAAGATCTGAGTACTTTTACTCAAGTACAAGATCTGAGTACTTCTACTTTTACTCAAGTACAAGATCTGAGTACTTCTACTTTTACTGAAGTACAAGATCTGAGTACTTCTACTTTTACTGAAGTACAAGATCTGAGTACTTCTACTTTTACTCAAGTACAAGATCTGAGTACTTCTACTTTTACTCTAGTACAAGACCTGAGTACTTCTACTTTTACTCAAGAACAAGATCTGAGTACTTCTACTTAAGTACAAGATCTGAGTACTTCTACTTTACTCAGTACAAGATCTGAGTACTTCTACTTTTACTGAAGGTATAAGATCTGAGTACTTCTACTTTTACTCAAGTACAAGATCATCTGAGTACTTGTACTTTTACTCAAGTACAAGATCTGAGTACTTCTACTTTTACTCAAGTACAAGATCATCTGAGTACTCGTACTTTTACTCAAGTACAAGACCTGAGTACTTATTCCACCTCTGGTAGCGTATTAGTCTGAATTGTAGAAAAAAATCACAAAATCACACAGAGCTGCATAAAAATAGACTCACAATGGTAACAAGTGGAAAATAATATTTACAAATGTGTACAATGATTTGTAGGTAATTTTGACTACTCAAGACACCTGACTTATACATCTTCAAAGGAAGACTGTGTTCATTCTACAATTACATGGGATTAAAGCAAAATGTAGTTTTACTTGTATAAATGTAAAAAAAAAATGTGTCTTCGGGTCAATGTGACTGATTTCGATAGATCAAGTCACATTTGGTTTAGGCACGAAACATACTACCAGTAGAAATACATTGCTTTCAAAATCGCTCTGTGTCGAATCAATAGATTTATATTTTGTGACTATAACACGAAATGCCGTGAGAGCTTCATCCTCTGAACACCACAGGATGGCGACTGACATAAACATAGGTACGCTCCTCTGAAATGATCGTCCCCTGCAATTATTATTATCCCTCATCGAGTTCGCTATTCAGCTCGCTAACGTTAGCTTAAACAAACGTAACATGCAACGTTAGCCTAATATAAAATGCTCTACTACGGCGTACCTTTCATGTGGCTCGTCAGCGCAGACTCTCGCATCGTTATTTTTGCAAACTTTGCAGGAGGCTACTCGTGGGCTTGACCCTCGTCTTAGCCATGGCTTGTATTTGTCTTCTGCTAGCTAACGCTCGTTGAAACTGCAACCTCCTGGCACACAGTCATCTCTCACTCATCAGAATGCCCAGGTCACACGTAACACAAACACTTGCAGGTCGCACGCATAGCGCGGGAAGGCCGCAGCGGAGCTGTTTTATGTAGAAGCGAAGCAATTCTTTTCTTTTAATCTAAAAAGCGAACTATTCAGTCAGACAGCAATTTATTGTAAAAGTAAAGCATTTACATTTTCAAGCACTTTATCTCAATTTCAAGCACCATTCCCAAAATGCAAGCACTTTCCCAACCTTGAAAACACCACGTCAAATTTCAAGCATTTTCAAGGATTTCAAGCACCCGTACGAACCCTGTAAATGGACTATTCGACTTCAGCCCTGGAGGTCCTCTTTCAGTAAAGTAATGCAGAACACATCATAACACATTCCAAAATGGTATAGAAAAGTTTCATGGTGTTGTGTGAAGAGGTACATGTACATTTAGCAGACGTCAGAAATGGTCGCACAAATAACAACTGATCATTTAAAAAACGATTTGAAGTTAAAACCAGCAATAAAGCTAAAGGAAAAGCTGACATACTTAGAGCAGCACTGCCACATGCTGGTCATGACCAACACTGTATATCCAGGAAACAATTGATGTCAACTTTAATTTTTGATTAAGATTATATTAATAAACCTTAACCACTAATGCCTGGAGCCTGACATTTTCTTTTTTACGGTTAAGACGTTTTTTTTATAATACAAACCGCATAGCCTGCGACTTGTTCAATTCAACATAACCAAACCTCAAACAAAAAGTAAATCAATGCATTAACATTCCATGAGCATTTCCTCTGCTGTATGCTGCCGTCTTGCGCATGCAAGCTAATTCAATTCAGATTATGTATACCGCTATATAACAATTCACAAAGCAAGTTATTATCAGCTCATAGCTGGCAGAAGATATTATTTCTGTAAAGGATTTTGTTTGTTTGTTAACCCAAACCTAAGATAAATAAAGATTTTACGTAGAGTGGTTTTCCAAGATAAATTTGGCAAACTGCTGAATCAGATAAGTCGTTGTGATGTTTGTGATTGGCACTTATTCATACTTCAATCAAGCAGAGCCAACTGAAGCACTGCATATTCATTTTGCAAAAGCATTAAGAAACATTTATTGCTAATAAAATAACTAAATGTAAAACTTCAAGGCACTGCGGCAGGAATTCCTGCTACCAACACCCAGTTTGTAATATTGCAAATGCAATTGCCATTAGCGGGCCATAATAAGTAACATGCATTACCTGATATGGGATCGATAGTGATAATAATTAAATTAAAATGTTCAAGGTCATCTTAATGGATGAATATGTTTAAGTTAACAAGGATTTTAGTTGAGGATGGTTTATTAAGGCAGTATTTAGGCTATAGTACCTGAAGAGAGCCACCAGCGCGCTCCAGAGTGGCGTGAAGAAGGCTTCCTCTATGCTGGCCAGGCACAGGTCTTTAGAGTTGGCTGTGTTGAGGCACTCAAAGGAGAGCAAACACAGGGACAGAAGTTGATCTGAAACAAATAAAGAAGACCCCCCAAAAAACTATTATCCAAACAATTTGACACTGACTGATGTCAACATCAACTAAAAATTGTTGCTTAAAATCAACATAAGACACTTTCTATGCTTGAAAAAGAAACCGTACACTATTGCAATACTACAATGTACAAGTGTTGTCCACCGCTTTACGGTACGTCCACACAGCAGCTTTTCAAAAATCTCAAAAATCTTGGAGCTGGGCGTGTCTGAAAGCTTGGGGATTTTTTGCGAGCAATGCGACCAACAACTAATCACATGAATCTCCCACCCCCGACATACAAAGCAAAAACCCCCAGGGATTTTATGCGAGCAATATATATATATATATATAAACTCCCCAAACAGGCGAAAACCTACCAGTTTCACCCACTGTCTCTGCCACCTCCCTCCTATGCCTGGTTCCTCCGGTTTGTATCCCGTTAATAGTTCTGGTCGTAAAGAACCGGGTGATTTGCTACCGTAATTTCTCGTTTGGAATATGAGGAAATGAACTGCGGTCTGGTTCTCCCTGCTTACACGCGGTTTGATTGGCTAGCGCTTCTACTGTCAGATTTGCATAAACGGGATTTGATTGGCTGACGCTTCCAGCTCAGCTTCAAAGTTGAACATTGCTCAACTTTTGAATCCTGAAAATCCTGGAAATCCTTGGAAATCTTCGCTTCGCTCCCCCACAATGCAGTTTGGCGAAAAGCGAGGCAAAGTGACGTCATCCCCAATTCAAAGTCAATGGGCAGAGAAGCGTTGGAAGATTTGTTTTAAAGCTGCTGTGTGGACGTACCGTAACAGTCAAAACTCCTCCACCAGTTGAGAATCTGCTGAAGGATTGTAAGTCAACCTTTTTGAGAGACTCTATGAATCAGCCTACCATAACAACATATTAAGACTGGCCAACAACATCATCTCTGACCCCAACCGTGTCCTGAACAGCAAATATGAAGTGTTGCCATCAAATCAGAGATACAAGGTCCTAGGGCTGTGCGATTATGGCAAAAATCATAATCACGATTATTTGGGTCAATAATTGATATCACGATTATTTTGACAATTATTCATTGACCATTTATTGAACTTTAAAACAAATAATATTTTACCAATAAACAAGATCAACAAATATGTTGGAGCGCACTTCCAAAACCATACTAAACATATATTAATATGATAAATAAAAATAAATTAGACCAAAATAAATTAAATCCAATATGTTGCAGTGCACGGTCACAACCCTACTGAATAACTCCTTAACATATAGCCAACATTTTGGTTAAAACATATTCAACATATTCCACTCAGTTAAACGTTGAAGGCTGGCCAACCGTCATGGTCCAGAAGTAACAGGAAATAAATGTTGAACTACAATTTAAGACCAAATAAAAATGTTTTGGCCACCATGGCAAATGCTGGTAGGACTGCTCGTGTCATCTCTTAAAGATTTTTTGCAAGAAACACCAGCCTGTTTACATGGTCTGCTTTCAGAGATGAGCGCAGGCAGGGGACGATATTGCCACCTGTACTGAAGACCCTCTCTGAAGAGGAACTTGTGGCAGTGCTGCCACATATGACACAGGAAAAAAAGAAAAGACTCTGAACTCTTTCTTTGCCATTATATAAAAATAGTGTTGCTACAAAAGTATAAATTAGGCTTACTAATAAGACAACTCAGATCTGAAGCTACATAGTAATCTGCTGCAACAGTGCAATAAAAAAGACAAAAATTAATAGAATCAAACCCTTTTTTTGTTGCATTTTAGTAGATTATAAAAATAAATGCCTTTAAAATAGGATGCAAGCAACACTAGTTTCTTAACCTGAATTGATAATAGACTATAATCAATTTAAACAGAACAGATCTGAATGTTTGCATTCTTATACCATTTTGTACAATAATTATCATGAATATGTTCAAACAAACTCAAACTTACAGCTGATTAATAACGGTATCTAACTTGAGTTTTTATTATATCAAAAACCTGTTGAAATGCTGCTGTTATTTTTACTGTCCCCAAAAGCGCGTCGGCAGCCTCCAGGAATGCTTCTTTCACAACTTCGCCGTCTTGAAAGACTTCATGTGTTTCCGCAAGAACGTGACTGACACGATAAGATGCTCTGGTAGCAGCCTTGCTTTTGTTGTTGGGCCTGGTGAAAATGGACTGCTGTGCATTTAGCTGTCCTTTCAGGTCCCTCCCCTTTTGGGAGGGTAGGGCAGGGAGGGAATTCCGTCTCGTAGTGTTTGTGCACTGTTTTGAAATGCCGCTCCTAAATGACCCTTCTTCGATAAAGCCACGCTCGCATTGCAGATGAGACAGATGCACTTTGAATTGGAATAGATACAAAAATAATCATCCTCCCACTCGGAGTGAAAATTATATATTTTGGGCTTTTTTGCTTCTGCCATAATTGCGGTCTTGTGTGTGTGCGGACTGTCACTCCTGTTGACACGGATAACGTCAGCGAAATAGTGCCCACTGCCCTGCCCACCAGCCACGCCCCGACACATGGGGTCACGCCGGCCAATTACAAAGCTTTGATGCGTTCAAGTGCATTATTCTGGCACAGGAAGATTATGTTACAGGACATTAACGATAAAACAGAATATTGTTGTTCTATTTTTAGACACATCTCGCGATCGACTGGGCATCTCCCCGCGACCCTTCTTTTTAACTAGTTGCTGCTCTTGTTCCGACATCTTCGCTTGCGCTGAACACTCACAACACATGTCACTCCCACGTGGCCGAGTGGGCTTTTAGGGAGGGGCGAAAGCGCACCCAGCAAAATAATCGTATTTTGTCAATTATGCTGTTTTCCTAATCGTCGCAAGCCATAATCGTAATCGTGATTAAAATACGATTAATTGCACAGCCCTACAAGGTCCTATGATTTCATGAGGTCAGACTGAAGCATTAAATACACAGTTATGTGTTATGTTGGACGGTCTTGAGCATGTTTCATTTCAGTGATTGTGAAGTTATGTTAAATGTCTGTTTCCATGTATCTTGTCTTAAATGTTTGTCCTTGATGATGTTGCAAATGCAGCTGCTGTGAGGCAAGAATACAAATGTTGGACTCAATGACAGAGTATTATCGTATCGGACATGGTCTATATTTGTGCTCACCGATTGCAATATGAATGTCTTTGACTACAGCCTTCAGATGTTCTGTCAGCGCTCTCATCTCCAGCTCCTGGAGGCTGCCCTCGTCCTGCTCCGGCTGCAGCGACGGATCACAGGTCCCCTCCGAGTCCTCTGTGCTGCTGTGGAGCGGGGCCCAGTCCAGCTGGGTCAGGAACTGCTCCAGATCTTCAAACGAGTTCTCCCGATCCACCGTCACCTGTGAGTGAAGCTCCTCCTCTACCTCATCCTCATCATTGGTGGAGTGGTCGTGAGAGAGTGAGGGGGAGAGGGAGGTGGCCGTACTGAAGCTCTGGCCGCCAACACTGCTGCCTCTGGTCGTCTTCTTCTCTGTGTGATCAATAACATTTCAGAAATGTATTAATGCTAATGTAGCACCCCCTAGTGATGTTGATGCAGTGGCGAGCCGTGACTTTTATACCTAGGCCCTCTGACCCCCACCCCTTCCCTCGAAAAAAAAGAGTTATTACGTCACAGCGTATACTTCAGCGGAATATCAAAACAACGGCCTGGGATGCAAAACGCATCAATAACTCTACCACACAAAACAACACCTGTAAATAATCCAATTTGTGTTCTTTGAAATTGAAAAGGATATTGCATTGTGTTTGATACTTTCGTTGCAGTTGTATGTCTTAAGTGTAATTTGGCATGCTTTTATTTTGAAGGTGAGTTTACGCTGTTGACAGGAAGTTGTTGTTGCTATGGAAACAAGAAAAGCTTCACAGCGGGCGGAACTTGTCATAAAGTTCTCGATAATAAAGCCCACCCATTTAGAGGGAAGATATGATTGGTCAATTGTACTGTCATTTGACATTACTCTCTCGTTCAGTTACTGTAGCTGGCCCTCTGTGAATTTACAGCAGGACCACCAATCAGCTCCTATCTTCACAGTAACTCGCAGAGACCTTTATATACAGTCTATGGCAGATATGAGCTTTTTTCATTTAACCCTTCACATTCAAACAGAAACTGCATAGGCATATTCGAAGGATTTATTTCTTTGGAAATGTTATTTAAAACTTTTTTTTAATGTTTTTAAATATTATTTTGTAGAATATCTTAGGCCCTCAGAGAAGTCCTAGAGGGCCCTGACGGCTCGCCACTGCTCAAAATACAAGATAAGAAACATGTTCAACCGTGCAACAAAATATAAATAGTCCTAAAATTATTTTTATTTTATTTCCTTCTTATTTTTGTCTAAACTCAAGGGAGCCAGAGTAGAGGGCTTAAAGAGCCGCATGCGGCTCGAGAGCCGCGGGTTGCCGACCCCTGACCTGGCTGCTATCACACTACTTAATACATGCTCCACTTGTTTTTGTTTTGTTTTGTTTTTTAAATACTGTTACTGGTCCTTGATGTGTATTTTTGTAAATTGTAATTTGTGTAATTTCTATTTTTATCTTTAATATATTATGCATGCCTGTTAAATATTATTTTGCGCCCTTTACTTTTGCTGTAACAATGTAAATGTCTCCTCTGTGGGACGAATCAAGGTATTCTGATCTACTGGCTTGGTTTCACTGACACAATTTTATTTAGGTACAAAATCATCAGTCCGTAAATGAAACAGACATAAACTGAGGAACCTCACAAACCGCTGGTACTGGCCCTACCTGGGTGAAGAAGGTGAGTGCTGCGAGAAGGTGTCAGCGGGCGTGGAGGACTCTGGACGAGACCTTTACTGACGATGGGGTAGAGTCTGTTGTAAACCCGGTACTGGTGTTTCCTTAGCAAATTCACCACTGGGTGGTCAGCCCGGCTGAGGACACAGAACAAATGCTATTTCAACATCATCAAAATATTACATTTCCTGTTACCAAGCATGATGACATTATCCCATAACCATTCTAATTCCTCCTATTTATATACAGGGGCGGTTCTAGGGGGGGGGGGGGCAGTGCCCCCCTAACACTGCCTTTGGACCCCCTGAAAATGAAGAAAAAAAAAAAAAAAAGTTTATGATTAAACGATTTCTTGGCTGACGGAATAGGTGGAACTAACGATATTTGTAATTCTAGTCGGACCCATTAGAGCAGGGGTGGGGAACCTCCGGTCCCCGGGCCATATATGGCCCGCGAGACCATTTGGTACGAGGTAATTTATAAACACACGCAAAAAATAAAATATTAAAGAAATCTAGACCGCAAAAAAATTAAACAAGCGAGTGCCTGTTTTTTCTGGCCAAGGTCAGGGTCCTTGAACACAACACGAGCCTAACGTGTCATCACGTGGTATACGTCTCGTCTGACCGTTCTTATTATACATCCATGCGTCTGACAGGCGTGCAGTTCTGCCGGAGAGCACCAGAACGCCACTCCGGCACTTCCACAAATTGCAGTAGGCTACCCATAAGGAGCCGTACACATGCCGCAGTTATTGCGTGGCTGTGATTTCAGTTGAAAGCCCAGTGGCGATCTGTTCATCTGTCATACTGTCATACAGTCAATAACTTTGTTGTTATTAGCATCTGGTTAGCTAGCTATGCTAACAAATATAAGAAGTTCTCCAACCAGTGAGGTAAAGGCACATCTTTATATGATCATTATAATTATACAAAAATAAGAGAATAAAGTAAACAGGTATAAAATACTATATGACAGTACAAAAAAGTTGTTATTAATAAACAAGAATACAGTTTGAAAGGAGAGTGATTTGTAAAATATCCATAAATTAAAATAAATCTGCTTACAGTTCTGTTTATGGGTGTTGAGAGATGTATCCATAGATCTCCTCATGTTGCTCTCAAAGTGCACCAGATTGATGCTTTTCACTTCAATATTTAAAATAAAATGTGGGTTCCCCCCCGCCCCACTTAAATCATGTTCACATGGATAGGAAACTAAATACATTTGCACACATCTTGTGTCCAATATCTTTCTGTTTTGGTGGTCATGCCACAACCGTGCACGTGCATGCATTCTGACATTTTTGTGATTTTAGTATTTTTAAGCAGAGGTCAATCATTTGTACGGCCCTCGGAGGATGTTGAAAAAATTGAAATGGCCCTTGAGAGGAAAAAGGTTCCCCACCCCTGATTTAGAGAGAACACACTAGAGATGTCCCGATCCGATCACGTGATCGGGGATCGGAGCCGATCACGTGATTTTTAAAAGATCGGAATCGGGAGAAAGAGATCGGGGATCCTTAAAAAAAACATTTTATTTAATGTTACAAAACAAAAATGACCATGTTCACCTCTTAAAGTCATCCTGAGGCCTTATTTTTTGTTTAAAATTACACAACATCATGTATGTGTTGCTTCTTTTGGGCTTGTTTTCAGACCTGGTTGCTTATTTCTGTCAAATCTGGCAACAGAGTGGGCGCAGTGTCTAATAGTAGCAGTAAGCTAAAGAGAGGCTACGTTCAGCTGGTGACTCGGGAGTCGGGACAGAGCAAATGTTAGGAGTTTGGAAGTATTATAAAATTGAAAGCGAAGGCAGTGTAACAGCCAGATGCAATGTTTGCAAGAAGGAGGTTCCGCGTGGTGGAAAGAACAGAGCTACGTTCAACACGACCAATCTGATACGATTGTTTGTTTTCTCATTTTTTTCCCCGTTGTTTTTTCAAATTGAATTGATTGAAATCTCCAATATCAACGTAAGAGCTTGTGCCTCTTCGGGGGGTGCTAACACTTAACCATAAACGTTATCGTTTACTTTCTCCATCTTTATATGTAGATATTACTTTTCTCCGTCACGTTGTTTCCAAAGCAACAACAACTTCCTGTCAACAGCGCTACCTTTCCTTCAAAATAAAAGCATGTCCACAAATAGGAAGCCAAGACAAATTACACTTAAGACATATACAACTGCAACGAAAGTAACAAACACAATGCGATATCCTTTTCAATTTTAAAGAACACAAATTGGGTTACATTAACAAATAACTATAAAACAACAATACTGTAGAATAATAAAAAGAAGTGGTTTGCTGCTGATTACTATTGAATTGTGTTACTCCAGTAAGATGGAAATATAATACTTTGTTTATTCATGTTATGTTAAGCTGCTGTTGTTCATTGCATTATTACTAGACTAGTTAGTCTTAAGGCTAGAATTCTGCACTAAGCCACATTTTTATTTTATTCTATTATTTGTGACTGAATGTGAACTTGTGAAGCTCGTCAAGCTACCTCTTTCCAGTAGAGTTATTTTTGTTTTGTTACTGCACTATCTGCACTCAATTTGTTTACATGGTTATTTTGTGGTGGACCACTGATAAGCTTTATTTTGTTTTGATCCAATGCTGCACAACTGACCTGATCCAATGCTGCTGTGAAAAAAAGAAGCTATATCCATGTTGGATAGAATGGATAGTTGGGTACTGTCATTTAAATTAAAAAAATAACCTTAAGGGACAACTTGAATGCTTTTTTCCTTTTTTTTTTTTTAATGCATTGCATAAAGATCGGATCGGGAAAAATCGGTATCGGCAGATTGTCAAAATCAAATGATCGGAATCGGATCGGGAGCAAAAAAAGGTGATCGGGACATCCCTAGAACACACCTTTATCTATTTCATATAGTTGTAAAAAATAAAGTAAGAAATCATTCCAATGTGTACTATAAGACAGTAACAACAATTAAAAACAGTTTAAATGGGGAGTGATTAGTAAAATATGCATAAATAAAAAGAAAGAATGCTAACTAGGTAACATAGGATAAGAATAAACAAGTTTAAATGATTTGTTATTGGTTGTGATCATATTCTAAAGATGTTTGGATTATTGAAAAGTATACAGCTCCCTTTCATCTGAGTGTTGAGAGCTGTATCCATTAATTCATGTTGCTCTCAAAGTGCACCAGATTGATGCATTTCACTTCAACATTTAAAAAAAACATCTTCGCGGGGGTGAATGCCCCAGGACCCCCCTAGAGGATGTGAGGTCCACCCCCCAAATAAAGCAGGTTAAAATAATTAAATTGCATACATTTTCTTTTAGTAAACACTGAAAACGGGTCCCACAGACCCAAACAGCACACAAAGGTTAAAGGTCAGCATATAATAATGTTAAAATGTGCTAAATATATACACTGTAAAAAACAACAAAAGAGGAGTGAAAGTAGCTCACGACTTGTTTTATATTTTGAAAGTACCTCTCATCCTAAAAAAGGTTGGAGACCCCTGCATTAGAGCGTAAAAACTGTAACTATAAGTATCTAAAATAAATATGTGTAATGAAACAAATACCAATAACTGTATTGCATTGTTTTCTTATGCGCAATTACTTCATACTGTCTTTGTCTTTTTCGTCCTGCATTTATTGGGCCCCCCTCAGAAAATAATTGGCCCCAGCCTGGCCCCCCCCAGTCAAATTGGTCTAGAACCGCCACTGTTTATATATACAATTGTATAGATCGTAAGCATTTTATTATTACTTATTGTTAAGCTTGACAGCATCGAGAGAGACGGTAAAAAACAAGTTATGTGTATACATACTTATCTCGGTTATATCATTAATTGATTTGAGCGTGTAGCCTATGGTAACTCTTGTGTCAAACTAGGTGGAAGCCTGTCTAAAGATAACAAAGGAGAAACAAACACCTCTGAGCCGTCAAGTATTGACAGGCCTGACGCAATACAACTAAGACAGAGCTAACCTTTTGAAAAATCTGTTGGTGTGATGGCGCAACAAAAGCCATTATTAAGGCCCGTTTATAAATATAAGCTAAAAGTTTAAATAAGATGAATGTACAAGCATGTGCAGTATTCCTGTTTTATGGTCACATGGGGAGTTTGAACACCAGACGAAGCACCAAACTGTAATTGCACAGTTGAGCAACCTGTGATCCAAGTTTTTCATCCATTACATAACTACACAGTTGTGTATATGATATGAAATTAAACCTTTTGAATCTTGACTATAGATCAAGTTTTTTAATTGTCATAGTAACAAAGATATTATGCAATGTTTGTAAGAACAAGGACTTTCAGGGACTTCCAATGCTCAGCAATAAAACACATATCCTGTCATTCTATGCACTAAACCACAAGTATTACTTGTGAAAAATAATCAAATTAAACTTCAAATGCACATGTTGCATTCAGATACCTGAGTAGGTAGGAGACTAGACCTGATACTAATGTGACATCATCAGGATTTTTCTTCATGTTGGCTTTCCACAGTTTAGGCCAATCCTGTAGAACACACAAACATCTATAAATGACTTGAAGACAACCATATCTATAATTTCATCAACTATGCTCATTACTGGATACATGTTAGCCCAACTCAGCAACATCAAATGTATCCATTCGTTCTTAATTGATTCATTTTTGTTTGAAGTTGTGCAACAACATAGTATGAGAAGCATAAAGTTATTTTAAGCATTTTTGTATAATTAGACACTAAATATTTCTCGAGACAACTGCCATTAGTTTTGATACATGTGTGGCGATTACTTGCAAACTTACATGGTCCTGCTCATATTCCAGTACATTGGTATAGAGAATGCGCTGCTCTTGTTCCTCTGCCCCAGATGCTGAAAATCTCCTGTAATGAAAATATGAAATGACATTCACACTTGCACGCAAACCTGTTGTATTTTTTTTTTTGACAGCCTTGACTACTGAATTAAACATAAATATAAGTGTGGGGCATGCAGATTCACCAACTGATCTGTTTTTTGCTAAAATCACCAGGTACAGTATACAGTAATGTGAAGGTGTAACATTTTTGAGTGTTTCTTTTTTGTAAATAGCAAAAGTAATTAGTTGATAATTAATTTAGTTGGACGCTACATTTTCCCGGAAATTATTGCGATAAACGATAAGATTGTCGGCACCGTTGTAAGACCATTTTAGACCACTGACATAATGATAATATATAATAATAATTCAAGTACATCCTTTCAAACAGAACTTTTGATTGAACATTCAACATTGCAAATGAAATGTGAAATAATATTCAAATATATAAATTATACATAATAAATAAAACAAAAACGTAATTATAGAAAACTAATTAAATCACACACAACCAAAACAATAAATTAAATAGACTTGGGCTGGAAAACATATATATATTTAATAAATAAATAAATATGAGCACACATTGTCTCACAAGCCAAAAAAAAACTCATTTTAAAACAACAGTCAAATGTACAGTCCACTGTCCATACAAAGACTCAGATGCCTCAACAGACCTTATCCAAATCTGTAATTCAAAGATTTCGAGCAAGGAACAGCAACATGTTTGCATTGTCGGGCAAATGCATCTTTGATTGATGTTATAAACTACAGGCCTGTCTCTCTACTCCCGTTCCTGTCTAAATCACTTGAACGCGCTGTCTTTAAACAACTCTCCTGTTATCTCAATCAGAACAACCTTCTGGATCCGCACCAGTCTGGTTTTCAAGGCAGGTCACTCCACAGAACTGCTCTCATTGCTGTCACGGAGGAACTGCACACTGCCAAAACAGCATCCCTCTCCTCTGTCATCATCCTGTTGGACCTGTCTGCTGCATTCGACACGGTGAATCATCAGATCCTCCTTCGCACTTTCCCTCCTCACCTCATACCTCAAAGACCGTACCTACAGGGTAACTTGGAGAGGGTCTGAGTCCAACCCTTGTCAATTAACTACAGGGGTCCCTCAGGGCTCTGTTCTTGGTCCCCTCCTCTTCTCCCTGTACACAAACTCGCTCGGATCAGTCATTAGCCCGCATGGTTTTTCACACCACTGCTACGCTGACGACACCCAATTAATTCTGTCCTTTCCCCGCTCAGAGACCCAGGTCGTCGCACGCATCTCTGCTTGTCTAGCTGACATCTCTCAGTGGATGTCTGCTCATCACCTCAAGCTCAACCTTGACAAGACTGAGCTGCTCTTCCTTCCGGGAAAAGATTGTCCCACTCTTGACCTAACAATCAACATCGGCACCTCAGTTGTTTCCCCGACTCAGACTGCTAGGAATCTGGGTGTGACCCTAGATAACAACCTGTCCTTCACTGCAAACATTGCTGCTACAACCCATTGCTGCAGATACACGCTTTACAACATCAGGAAGATACGTCCCCAGCTGACCCAGAAAGCGACTCAGGTTTTGGTCCAGGCTCTCGTCATCTCACGCCTAGACTACTGCAACTCCCTCCTGGCTGGTCTACCTGCATGTGCCATCCGACCTCTGCAGCTCACCCAGAATGCAGCGGCTCGTCTGGTCTTCAACCTTCCTAAATTTTCCCACACCACTCCGCTCCTCCGCTCCCTTCACTGGCTTCCGGTAACTGCTAGAATCCACTTCAAGACACTGGTACTTGCTTACCATGCTGCGAATGGATCTGGCCCTTCGTACATCCAGGACATGGTTAAACCGTACACCCCAGCGCGTGCACTACGCTCTGCATCAGCCAAACGACTCGCTGCACCCTCGCTGCGAGGGGGACCCAAGTTCCCATCAGCAAAAACACGTGGGTTTGCTGTCCTGGCTCCAAGATGGTGGAATGAGCTCCCCATTGACATCAGGACGGCAGATAGCTTGCACATCTTTCGGCGCAAACTGAAAACTCATCTCTTTCGACTCCACTTTGAGCGTTAGAACTATTAACAAAGCACTTATATACTAATAAAGGACTGGCTTACCTAAAGCCAGTTGAGTAGCACTTGAAAGGTTTGGCTCTATGAAACCTGATGTACTTATATGATTCTGTTTCCTTCAAGGTTGTGTCTTCCTGGTCGAATGTAGTTATTGTAAGTCGCTTTGGATAAAAGCGTCAGCTAAATGTAATGTAATGTAATGATTGTAAACTGTCAGGAAGGTGGGGGCTCTCCATCTCCAGCTGCCGTGTTTGCTCTCAGCTGGGAAAACGGAATGGGTAGGTTGTGTTTCAGGTGCAGTTAAAAAGGTTGGTCGTATTGCTAGCTTTTGGTGCTACCTTTTTAAAACAAATGCGACACACCGCCTGGCTCATTCAAGTCAGTAGGTTCGCCTCGTTGATTTGGCTTAAATCCAAAATATTCCCACACCGGAGATGTCGAGTTAGGTTTTGCAATCAATTCCATTTAACTTCCCTCGAGTAAGTCACACATTGTCTCCTGCTTGTCTCTATATTATTCATTTGGCTGCTGCACGCGGAGTGTCCTGACCTGGCTGTGGGTGAGCCCCGTCCCTCACAGCGCGCCTGGTCGGCAGACACAGCACGCCGGGCCGGTAGAGTGGCCGGTCACATCTTATGTAAACAAACACGCATGTAAACGGCAATTTATCGAGGTCAGAAAAGTTATAGAGTTCAATTTTATTTATCGTACGATAAGTCAATTAATTGCTAATCGCGACAGGCCTACCCAAGAGTAGACCATCTTTGAAACATTGTGGCTCATTGTGATCATTTTCCAAGAATGTATTGAGTGCATAAACCTTCAACACAATAACAAAAAACAAACAGTCTATTTATTTAGTGTGCAGTATTTGTAGACTAGATACATGTCCACTAAGCAAACATTCAAGTCTAATTTAACTAACTTTGAGTACCTTTGTCAATACATCTTTTTTTTAAGTAGTTGAAGAATGAAGGCAGAAGCTAAAACTGAATAAAGTGTATGTGTGTTTGAGAATAGTGGGGTACCTGTTGGCCTCTTCCTGCAGTCTTAGTCTTCTCTCCTCCATCTTCCGCTGGAGCTAATGTCAAAACAAGCATTAAGGGTACCTCCATCCATCATAGTTCTTACAAGGATCAGCTATACAGGATTATGTTTTTAAAACAGAGGTATCTTTGTATACATCACAAGGATACAGCATCCTGCCTGGCTTTGGCTATGATGAGGTTCTCCATCATCTGCCGCTGGAGAGACAGCGTCTGCATTGGAGAAGAGGAAATTACTTAAATGCATCACACAAATAAACACGTAAATATTTTGTTAAGCTGAATCAATATGTTTTTTATTTTAAAATTAGAACAAGATGTCAGTCAGTAAACTCCAACAAACTGAGGTAAAAGAAAAAGGAAGGCCGTGTAATGTGAAGCCAGTTCCAGTTCTATTTATAACTACACATTATATTAAAAAAAGTGAGTGATGCTTTACAATCTGCACAGCACCAGGGATAGGAAAAACACACAGGTAAAAAGCCTATAAAGTATACTGTCAACCATTACAGCAAGACAGCAATAAGTACAAGCTATGACCAGAGTTTGCATCACCAAGAAGGTTTCCAAACGTCCAAACACCAACAAGATACTGGGAATTCTGTCATACAGTTACAGTGAACCAACAGCAGCAGCTCAGTGCTGTTCTCTCCTGACCGTGGAGTCACACAACTTCATTAAACTTCAACCACTTTTACCCGAGTAGTGTACTTAAGTAAACATTTGAGGTGATTGTACTTTCCCGAAGTATTTAAATTTCATACTTCAACTCTATTGTACTCTTTTCTCCAATACATGAGTGGTGCCGTGAAAAACCCGGAAGTAAGCTGCGCTCGGATTCCCTCGACAAAAAAGCAATGGGATTTCTCCATAGGATTTTGGAAAATAGCTCGAAATAAGGTCTGTGGAAAACGAACCTGTTAGTTAAATGCACGTTTTGTTCAGCCGGATAATATCCACATGTCTACCCTACTTTGATAATTTTCTAATCATAAATCTATCGATTACATTATAAATTCAGATTTTGCCACACAACATTTAGGAACAACTGTTAAAATATGATTATTTGGTATAGATTAAACCATCCAACATTATAATTGAGTGACTAAAATCACGAGTAGGACATTTTACATTTTAAAATTAAAAAGCTTAAAAAGTATTTTACAGTCCTAGCTTCTTAAATGTGAAGATGTGCTGCTTTCGATTTAAAATATTTCAATATTTTTTGTGCAATAGTATTTTTACTCGTGATACTTCAAGTACATTTTCCTAATCGTACAGTACTTATTTTACTTAAAGGTGGGGTAGGTAATTTTGGAGAAACCAGCTCGAGTGCGCTAGAATTTGAAAATACACAACCGGAAAAAATCTGCCACTTCCTCACAGAGCCCCTCCTCCAACACACACGAACACGCACATGACCAATGAGGGCACGAGATAAATTTGTGCACAGATGGAAGGCTGACAGGCAGGTAGGCCATCCAGTTATTTGGTCGTGCTTTTTACAGTACTACAGCTTCCACAGATGACATTTTTGTATGGATTTGTTGTCAAAGCACTTAAGATATTCATTGATACCGATACCAGTCACCTCTGTGGAAACATTGGTATAACTGCCTTTTTTAATTTATATTTGAGTGTTGTATGTTTTTGTAATAATGGACCAAGAGTCTCTTTAAATAAAAGATGATGATGGATGATTGCTATCGGGATGTTAAGAGCATTCCATGGAATATAACAAAAAGTGTATCTCGAGCCGGTTTCTCAAAACTTACCTACCCCGCCTTTAAGTACCATTTTCGAGTAGAAGTAAAACATCTGAATACTATTTACACCATTTTCGCTATATGAAAACGTTTTTAAAAAAGCTCGTAATGAATATTGTTTTGTGCTCTTTGAACTACTTTTATGAACGTTACTTCTCTAAAAAGGTGATTTTTTTTAGGCACGCGCAGAACAACCACACTTCAAAGGGTTCGGTGTTTCCTGCGTGGCGCCGTTAGCTCGTTAGCTGATGTGACTTTACCTTTACAAACACCTTTAGTTTCCTCCAGTAAACATGCAGCTCCACTTGATGCATTTTCGGAATCTGAATAAAAAGTTATCATTCATTTAAAAAACTTCCATAGAACACAACGAATGAAGCGTTGCAGCGTAACAAATTATCTCTCTCGCTTACCATATTTTCTATGACTGGAGAGATAGGAATAAGAGTAGAGGGAGTTCAGCTCTACAGCTTAGAAAGTGTTGTCTAGCCTTAAATACCCCATGTAGTACAGGGCTCTGCACACAGCACACTCCCCTTCACCTAATCAACAAGACGCGGCAGCCTGACGTAGATACCAAACCGGAAGTACCAATCCAAAATAAAAGCACACACGATGTCGCTTAAAATATTGAAACACCATTATTTTAAACACTTTAGTAGTCTGATGTTGAGTATTTTTTTTTAAAAGAAAAAACGGGTCAAACGAAACAACTTCAGAATGAGGACATTTAAATAAACTTTAATGGTGATGGATTTGTTACAAACTAATTTTATTTTGGGGAACATTTCACATCACAAGAAGAACTGGACAGACTAAACCAAAATTAGCAAATGTGTACTTAGAATGATTTCAGTATGGCACCACTATTACAAATATTAAAAATAAGAATTTTCTTTGTATTTTTTTATCCTGTATTTGTACCGGTTTACCCCTGATGTCAATCATTTGTGTGTATATTTGTTTGGTGTACATATATATTTTCTTAAATAAAGAGAAAAAAAAATATTGGAACACACATGCAATAATTGTTTTTCAAGCTATATGACCTGCATCCAAAATTAGAAAATAATTCAAGTGAGAAATCATGTGACGTGACTAATTAAATCTTCACACATGTATTCAGCACCGCACACACACTGTGAAATGTAGACACTGCATTTAACCCATCATAGTTTTGGAGCAGTGCACAGCTATACACAGAGCCCAGGGAGCAGTGTAAGGAGGACACCTGGCCTTGCTCATTGGTACCTCAGCAGTTCCCATGAGGTGAACTGTCACCTCTCAATGTACCAGTCCACATTCCGTATTTGGTCCTTATGCCAAAGACTGAGCTCCTGCTGCCATTTATCTAAGACGTCTTGTGATTTTATAACAAAAACAGTGGCTTTAGGTGACATTGCTACTGTATCACTGACTGATGACAACCTGAAGACCAATACCAGGTGACACATCGTAGTGATATGATGTTTCCTGCCTTCACAGGTTGAGGAGAATTACCTGAACACTTTATTAGATCACTGACTGACATTTGAGATACTGAGAGCCACACAGCATACACTGGGAATGTCATCCAAATCTGGGTAAGAGAAAGTCAGGTTTAAAGAAACCTTTGAAATGGGAGAGACTTTATGATGTATTATGTTCAGTCTCAAAATGTAGTCTCCAAGGGGTGAAGGTCCTAACCTGGGACATAGTTACTGTTTTTTCTTAGGATGATGAAAACAAATCAAGGAATCATAAGCATATTAAATCTTCAGTAATAGTATCTCTCTTACACATTTAATTTACTAAATGAATCACATGTATTGCGTCTCGATTACACAATGACTGCATCCATTCAGAAAAGTGCACTCGGTGCACTAAAACGTTTGTTATCATATCATTGACACGCTTTGTGCCTTTGTCGAACTGCTCATTTAACCTAAACGAATACTGTAGGATCTCTGAACCTCACATGTTAAAACAGGCAGTACATGCTGTGACATGAGAAGATGTACTATGTCTGAATGGATTCTGTGAGGTCAGAAACAGATTCAGTATTACACACATTACAGGCAATAACATGTCACCCTGGTTCAAAGTCTAAAACATCTGCCGGTCATCTGCCGGTCTTTAGAAAGTACGTTTAAATTACAGACAGGCACCCGTTCAGACGGCACTAGTATTGTTGAGGTCCAGTTTAAACATGTTGGCCCCTCCCTGCAGGGACACGTAGGTGCCCGATGATCACATGAGTCAGGAAGAAACCTAATCATTATCAGAAATAAGGAAAAAATAGATATTTTACCTATTGTGTAAGTTTAAAATAAATTAACTAATTGAATGCGATGAGATAAAAACTAGATAAAGTTACCTCTTAGCCTTTGGTAGTTTGTGTCTCTCTATTCTTTCTCTGGAATTGCATAATAAATATCCCTACATTCTCACACGTTTTTTATAAACTTTGAAAAACAAATGTTCTTAACATTTTTGATATTTGGACTGAGTGGCAGATATAACTCTGTTTTGGAAGTTTTGTGCATGGCACAGTACAGTGTTTGGAAAAAAGGTATTTACGTTTCCGAAATAGGAGGAGGTCATGTGTTAAGGTACATTTTAATAACTCCAAACACAGTGCAACTAGAACCATAATACATAATTGAAAATGGTCTGTGTTTACAAAAAGCACTTTTCCGATCTCAATTTCAAACCTTTATTTATCCAGGTGTATCCCATTGAGATCATTGATCTCTTTTTCAAGGGAGACCTGCTCAAGTAGGTTCCACATGAAACATAACAAGAACAACAAAAGGACATCTTACAGCATCATTACAGGGATTACAATAATTATCCACATAAACAGGTACCAATAGCTTCCGATTGAGTAGCATCCAACCGAGCTTTAAAAACATTTAGTGGCACCAGATTGTTCAGTTTCCATTTCAATTGCAGACTATTCCAAGACAGAGGAGCTGCGCATCTAAAAGCTGTCTTCCCTAAGACAGTCCTAGCAGTTGGCACATTTAATAAAACCACAGCATTCGATCTTAGGCAGTAGCCACTTACACTTTTCCGTGAGATCAGGGAGCAGATATAAGATGGAAGTTTCCCTAACATGGCTTTATATATAAAAATGTACCAGTGACTGAGCCTCCGTACAGTTAGTGAAAGCAAACCAGCCCTTGCATACAGGGTACAGTGATGGGTTAATGCTTTACAGTTAGTAACACATCTCAGTGCACTGTGATACGCAGCATCTAACTTGACCAGGCAATTGGCAGGTGCATTCATATACATCAAATCACCATAGTCCAGCACAGGTAAAAAGGTCACAGTGACTAGCCTTTTCCTGGCCTCAAGCGAGAAACAGGACTTGTTCCTGTAGAAGAAACCCAGCCTAACCCTCAGCTTTTTAAGCAGGTTATTGACATGAAGTTTAAAAGTGAGACAATCATCAAGCCAGATACCAAGGTATTTGTAACAGGTAACCACTTCAAGTTTTATTCCTTGTGTAGTTACAATATCTAAAACAGGCTCTGGTGTCTTTTTAGCTTTAGAAAAGAGCATTACCTTGGTTTTCTCAACATTTAAAAGAAGCTTTAGTTCAGAGAGCTGAGTCTGAATAATGTTAAAAACAACCTGTAATTTAACACCAGCCTCCTTAATGGAGGGACCTGCACAGTACATCACGGTATCGTCCGCATACAAATGTAAAGTAGCTTCATCCACATTTTCACCTAAGCTGTTGATGTAGATGGAGAATAAAAGTGGACCTAAAACATTAGTGATGTTTAACCACTCAGAGAGGTAGTCTACAAACCACCCACTGCATGGCTGGACATGCCTATACTGAGTAGCCTCTGCTTTAAGATGCAATGATCAACGGTGTCAAACGCTTTTGAAAGGTCAACAAATAGAGCTGCACAACTCTGCTTATTGTCTAAAATACTCGTAATATCATTTACCACTTTCATTGTGGCAGTGATGGTGCTATGTTGCTTTCTGAAGCCTGACTGATGTTTAGACAGGATGTCATGTGTACATAAAAACACCTTTACCTGTTCACTCACTAGGCGTTCAAGAACCTTGGCCAGAACTGACAATTTAGAGATGGGTCTATAGTTATTTAATAAGGTGGCCTCCCCTCCTTTTAGCAAAGGCAGGACATACGCTGACTTCCACCATTTTGGAATTGTGTTCGTGCTGAGGGAGAGGTTAAAAAGAGTAGTGAGAGGTGGATCAATACAATCTGCAGCTATCTTTAAAAAGAAAGGTTCTACGTTGTCCGGGCCAGCCAGTTTCTTAGGATCTAACTTGGTTAAAGCTTCACGAACAACATCAACAGTAAAAGGGGTAAAACTAAAAGGGTTTTCCAACACACGTTTTTCAGAGTCACCGACTGTGGTGTTCACAGAAGCAGAATTAGTGACAGAATCAAACAGAGAACCACAGGACACAAAATGCTCATTAAAGCAATTTAGCATAGTAACCCTGTCTGATATAGTGCCAGATGCTGTGGTAATGCACGGAGGTAGCTCATTACGGATATCGCCGGTGGATATCGATTTTATGTTTCTCTCATGTAGGAGAATAGATAATTCAGCAGAAAACCAAGGATGGTCTCGTCCCTTTACTCTAAATGTACGCAGGGGTGCATGTCTATCAATGATCTCCATAAAACCAAGATAAAAATAAGACCATGCAGTTTCTACATCAGCACACAGATCGATTTTACCCCAATCAAAATCAAACAGATCATGCACAAAACCCTGCTACACAAAATGTTTGATGTCTCTCTTACTGATAATGCGAGGTTTAACCTTTTGGACCTTAGTGTTCCTAATTGTGGCTACAACACAGTGGTCACTCAGATCATTCGCAAATACTCCCACAGATGAATATTTATGGGGAACATTAGTTAGAATGAGATCAATTAGGGAGGATTTATTAGTTTTTAAAATCCTCTGACACAGAAGTTAACCAGTCCCAATTAAAATCACCAAGCAGCACTATTTCCTTGTAGTCTAGTTGAGATAAAAGTTTTGCCAAAGAAGATAAAGAGTCCTTGACAGCTGAGGGGGGTCTGTAGCAGCCCACCACCATGACCTGTTGACCCTTTGCTACTTCGATATTTAAAGCTAAACATTCTAGTTGTTTACTAATAGATTTGGAAACCATCTTGGTTACACAAAACTTATTTTTCACATAAATGGCAACGCCACCACCTGGGAAAAAAACCTCCCACAGCACAGGTGCACAGGTAAACCTCCTCTCCACGCCGACGGAAGAGAGGCAGCCCTCGCTCTGATCGACGAGTGAGGAGGAGTCTTTAAGACTCCTTAAAGTGCTACCTACACACACACACACACACACACCACACACACACACACACACACACACACACACACACACACACACACACACACACACCACACACCACACACACACACACCACACACACACACACACACACACACACACACACACACACACACACACACACACACACACACACACCACACACACACACACACACACACACACACACACACACACACACACACACACACACACACACACACACACACACACACACACACACACACACACACACACACACACACACACACACACACAACACACACACACACCACACACACACACACACACACACACACACACACACACACACACACACACACACACACCACAACACACACACACACACACACACACACACACACACACACACCACACACACACACACACACACACACACACACACACACACACACACACACACAACTTACCAAAGACGTCTTCTGGTAGGCCTTGCCAGGGGGGAGCCTTGCCAGACGAGCTTCATAATTGGCTTTCAACTTCTGGTTCAAACGTGATGCTTCTTCAATGGGTGTCAGCTCCCTGCAGTACACACATACACACACAGGCAAACACACACACAAAATACAATTAAGCTAAATGTTACCTGTTGGGTGTGTCAAAGGAAAATATAAATATTTCTGCACATCCTACAAAAAAAAGGCTCATGAAACCAACAATAACATCCACATACAGCACAACAGGATTTTGCCTGTTCAATGTTATATATTTTGTCACTTTTCAATTCCCTCGATATCCTAAGACAAAGAGAGACATTGAACGAGGATGGCTGTGAGAGAGAGCGACCATGGAAACCGTATTAAGGACTTAAATGTTTGTAATTCCGAACCCAGGTTTAAAGTGACTTTAAGTGAATTTAAGAGTCATTGTGAGTGCAAGAATGTGTTTGATGTTTCAACCTGGTAGCTCAACTCAGAACATTGTGATCTCAATGGAAACTAGAGGTAACTGGTTCTTGTTATCCCTGCTGTGTTGTTCACGTCAGAGCTTATCTGTCATTGGATGGAGCAATATTTGCCCTTGTGATAAAAACCGGCCCTACTTTTTGCTTATGTCCTGTGACTGCACTGTTTGTAGTCTCTGGAAGACTTCAGGAGGCAGAAAAGAGGAGAGCTCCCCGGTTCCATCTGACAACACCCTGTAGTGACCCGTCTTTGTCGGGCTGGTTGTTTTATGCCCTGTGTCAACAGGAGTATCAGATGAGGGGGCTGTGACTGCAGGAGGGAAACAGAGAGACAAAAGGTGGTGATTGGCTTAGAAACAAATCATGTGCAAACACATTGGCTTATTTTGATTTGTGACCTCTGGGGCAGGCTCTTAGTTAGCAGTGATTGAACTGTATGATAATAAAAGAAAGGTCCTGATTGGATGATGCACTCACCAGGGTTAGCAGTGGTGTCTGTGAGGACAGCAGTCTGGTTGGGCTCTGATTGGCCAGGGGAAGAGGAAAAGGGAGCGGAGCCGGAGGCAGAGAGGTCAGCTCTCTTCCCTATGAAAGACTTGACTCGCTCTAGACATTGTTCAGCCAACCTCAACATGCGCCCCACCTCCACTGCTACCACCTCCCCGTCATCTGAGGATGGGACAGAAAGGAAGACAGAGAACGTCACTCCTCGATGATTGATCAAATAATAATAATAATAAGGTCATCACATGGTTTCCAATTAATCAACCAAATGTTTGTTTATGTAGCCGCAATATCACAACTTACACATTTGTCACAGGGGCTTAACAGTTTGTACACAACACCCTCTCTCCTTAGACCCTTGCAGCGCACAAGGAAAAATTCCATAATAATAATGGGGAAGAAACCTCGGGGAGAGCAACAGGACGACTGCCTCTGACGGCCTCTGACTCCCAAAATGGGGTAGGTGTGTCAGGGCCTTTAGATGTGGAGAGGGTGTGGGCCTTCACAGGAGAGGAGCTTGATAGATAAAGGCTCTGAGATCTGATTACATTCAGTGCTAGCAAACAACTACTGTATTCAAGCTGATTAGCTCATGTCTGATTAGAATGATTACTTCATGGGTTCTGCTTAATAGGCAGTTAAGTTGATCCAATCCTCCTCCCACATCTTCCCCCCTTTTAATATATGTGTAAACCATAAATGATGTTGCTAGATTATAAGGCACATTCAGCTGAAACTAATCCAGTTCAATTCAGCACTGCAATAAATCAGACTTGTTGTGCTTCAGTTAAGTTAAGTTCTGGTTGAAACAATTAGAGCATTCTTGATTCAACGAAATTATCATTTTAGAGGCTGCAGTTTGTGGATTGTATTGTTCCTCTGCCACCTCTCTGTATAGAGTTTAACAGAACCACACATTACATCCTGCAAAATCTAGCTCATTAAGTTGAATCAACAACGCTCAGTTTCATCAAGATAACGGTGAGTTCACGTGTGCATCTATGAATATGTACGTGCTTACACTTTGTTCATTAGCACATTTTTCTTTCTTTCTTAAAGACAGCTAGATAATTAAGGAAAACAATCAAATTTAGCAGTGATTGTTCACCTATGTTAAATGCATCATACCATTGTAGAATAGAATAGAATAGAATACTTTAATGTCATTATACATGTACAATGAGACAATAAATGCTTCTCCCTTCTGCCTGTTTGAAATGTATTATGTTGTTGAAGTTCGTAGTGGTTGCCACTCGAGGCCGGTAAAGGACTGAGAATTGGTGATGCCTGTTTAATGCTACTTCTAGAGTGAACAACATGTTTCTAATTGAATGAAATATGAATGTGTCCATCCAAGTTAAATCATCTTTAAAAAATCAATTGGATATTAAGTATACAATCCACAGCATATCATATCTCACCATGTGGTCTGACCAATCATATTTACAGGCTCTACTTTCTGAAGACCTTCTAAAGCAGTGGTTCTCAAATGGGGGTACGCGGACCCCTAGGGGTACGTTGGAGTATTGCAGGGGGTACGTGAGATTTATTTTTATGTTAATGAAAAAAAAAAAAAAGTTTGAGCAGTGTGGGTTTTATATTAACAGAGTTACACATGTTTCAAAACGCGAAGTGTAATAACTGCAGTGGCCTTCCTGTCACTGAGAATAACAAAGATCCTCAGTGAAGCACAAGCCCATTAGTGATGGGTCGTTCGCGAACGATTCATTCTTTTTGAACGAATCTTTGAAGTGAACGAGATGAACTGATTCCTCCCACAAAAAGATTTGTTTGTTTGAGTCGCCGCCTTCCGCCAAAAGCTAAAGAGAAGCTGTTCGCGAACGACGAACTTAAAGAACTGGCGGAAACAGTTTTTTAGCTACAGTTCTTTTATCTTATATCCCTTTCTTTCAAGAGGAATACTGGATGTTCCATCTACACAGAGTTGGACTCAGTTAGACAAGACAACTACCACAAATACAATGAAGCACTTTACTGTTGGACTCAGTACTAGTTGGACTTCTACCACAAGTAGGCTACTATGAAGTTATTTTACTGTGTACTTTTTCAGTTATTCTCTGTCAAACTCCTGTGGCAGAAAATCATTTTATCTCTCATCAAATATAGCAGAAAACAGCTCTCATCTGAGCTCCCACACACACACACACACACACACACACACACACACACACACACACACACACACCACACACACACACACACACACACACACACACACACACACACACACCACACACACACACACACACACACACACACACACACACACACACACACACACACACACACACACACACACACACACACACACACACACACACACACACACACACACACACACACACACACACACACACACACACACACACACACACACACACACACACACACACACACACACACACACACACACACACACACACACACACACACATCCTCCTCAACCTGTCCGCCATAAATGCCTCAGAGGACGGATACCTGAACCGTAGCGTCCAGCTAGCTTAGTCGCTCGCTTAGCGATAAATACACACAGCGTTGTATTCTCCTCCCCCTGTCGGCCCTAAAAGCTTCAGAGGGCGGATAGCTGGGCTCCGTAGCGTCCCACTAGCTTAGCCGCGAGCTAAAGGTAAATATAGATGGATACATAGTGTAAGAGAATATTTTAATCTGATCTTGATTATAGAGTTTCTTATTGTTTCTTAGAATCTGTGATACTGCAAACATCTGTTTGTAAGTATGAGTCAAAAACTCCTCTGTAGGTTGAGGTCACAGGTCAAACGCTTCTCCTATATCCGTGGGGGAAGGGTCCAGGCCTGCCTGCATTTCCTTGAGACAAGTAGATTATTGTCTCACATCTGCTATTGATTAGGTAAACGCGGGCTTCTGTGAGCCCGCCTCTCCTCATGTTGATGCGTGTTGGGGCTATTCGGGGGCAGAGATGATTCGGTGGAGACACAGGAGGGTGTGAAACCGAGTGACCTCCCGGCCGTATTTTGCTGTACTGTGTTCAATAAACTCTCAGTGCTTTGGCTAACGACGTTCCAGACTCCTTCATTCTACCTCAACATTGCAACAACAGAAGTTTAACTTCACAATCTAAAAGCTTCAGAGGGCGGATAGCTGGGCTCCGTAGCGTCCCACTAGCTTAGCCGCTAGCTAAAGGTAAACATAGATGGGTACATAGAATATGAATAAATCGTCACCGATGTAGAGGATATATTTTTGTATTCACTTTGAACTCGGCCAAATGGAGTTTAATGCTTTGGGATTTAAGTTAGGCCACATAGTACGTGCATGGGTTTGAAAGTATAACGTGCTAGCCTGCTGTAATACATCGTATAGTCAGGCACACATTTATGAGATTTAACAATAGCCAATTATATTTCTTAAATAATATGTAGCCTATTCCCAGAGCATAATTCATGGGGCAACAAGGTGAGGTGTAAAATGTGTTTTAATATTATACATTTTACGCCAGCAAACTTCTTGTACGGACTTCGGCAGTAGTGAAGACTCACTGAACGAATTAAGTACAAAGACGAATCGTTCGCGAACGTGCAAATCACCAGAAGTCGTTCGCGAACCGGTGAACGAATCAGTGAACGAATCTTTAAAGTGAACTGAATCAAAAGATTCGTGTCCCCGAAGGGAATCGAAATGCCCATCACTAAAGCCCATGTTTCTCACAAAATTGTAAGTACAACTTATTAAAAAGATCAGTTCAATGCAACTAATGTCGTCTTAGTGTTATTGCATGATGTTAAAATTGGTTTGCCATGAATTTAGTGATGGATTCTAAACATTTGAAATTTAGCATTTAAGTGTTTCTCAGTTACAAGGTTGTTGTTTTAATAAATCAGACACCGATGGTGCAGCGCTGTACTGTACCTCTTTATATAGGCATTTCTTCCCTAATAAATTGTTTTTGTGCTGAACTTGGCTGAATTTTTTTTTCAAAGGGGGTACATTATTGAAAGAAGTTTGAGAATCACTGCTCTAAAGCACGGAGGTCAAACATACGGCCCAATAGCCAAAACCGGCCCGCCAGAGGGTCCAATCTGGCCCACTGGATGACTTAGCAAAGTATACAAATTTGAGAAGACATTAACTGCAATTTTCCCAACTTTTATGTTTTTTGTATACATTTACAAGGCAGTGAATAAGTGAATCTTCTTCCTAAATAGATACCCTTTTAGTTTGTATGGTGTGTCAGGATTACTACGCAGATGTGGAAATTAATGTAAAATAATTACATTTGTAAAAAGATAGTTCATAAAATGTGAACATTTTCTGAATGTACTTTTTTTGCACTAAAACAAAGGTAACCATTTGGAGTGGTCATTATTCCAGTATAGGTTATTAAGCTATGATTGTACTGTTCAGGTCTACTTGAGATCAAATGTGGCCCCTAAGCTATAAGCTTTAGTGAGCTTTCAATACAAGTCTATTTCACAGCCTCTATGTATGCAATAGTTCTGACAGTACATCCTCATAATGAGGCAGGTTAAATGTTTCCATATTCTGATGAAGACCACCAAAAGTTAAAGTTTTTAACTTGAAAAGTTGCACTTTTTGAACGCCAATTGGAGAATGATAAATAATTAATAGAACCCTTTCAAACTTACTCAAAGACACCTTACATAGCAAAAGCAGAATGCAAAAGGTTAGATATGTATTCCAAAGATTCTCAATATATATATTTATAATCAGTCATAGACGGTATGTCACTATTCAGAGCTCACTTTGTGATCCAGCTTCCTCCAAAAGTGCATGTGATATGAAGTTGATCGTCCGGAGGTATTCACAGTAAGCTTCCTGCAAAAAGACCAAACACACGTAGTATGGTAAAGCTGAGAATGCGCAATAAAAGAGGATAGAAGCTCCAACTCCAGCTCAATACATACAATGCATTTCAGGTGTAGTTTTTATAAAGACAATAGTTTATAAAAGTTATCTTTGTTAGACATACTCGCATATCAACAAATGAAATATTCCAGACAAAACAGATTTGTATAGAGGCAATGGGCATAATAGTCAGTATTACATTTGATTCCACACCCAAGAGGTATTATTAAATGGGAATGATTAGAATTGGCTGAACTGTTATTTTCACATTGTTTTCACCTTATAGTGGTGTGATGAAGTTTTGTAATGTCTATTACCAATTGTTTGTTGTGTAAGTGTTGCTTGTTAGACTGTCTCAATACCAGCTTTTCTAAACACACTGATTATTTGTGTCCATTTCAGCAGCATTTTTCTGCATTTTAAAAGTAAATTCAACACTAGAACTTTTCTTTAATGCACATGTCATGACTTTAGTGTTTTTGCCAGTTCTTTAAGTTCTTAATTGTCTCTGAAGTGCGGCCTGCCACTTGTTTCAATGATAAACTGGTGACCTGTCCAGGGTGCACACTGCTTACTGCCTGCTCCCATGATGGGATAGCATCTGAAACAGTGTGTATGATGGATGGATAGTCATTCTTTTAAAGTACGGGTCTCTTTTCTAATGATATTCCATTTAGTGTTTTTGGTCTAAAGACATCAACAACATCTAATCTTTCTCTAGAAATCATTGTTGTATGTTGTACTACCAGTATTATACTGTAACTAACTACTGAATTCAATCAAGACTACTCTTCAAAATAAACTGTTAATATGTAAGTAAGTGCTTCATATGAAGGTAGACTGTTTTATGGTTACTAGACACACACTTTTTTAAACACAAACACTTATATACTGTACAGTACTATCACCACTCCCAAACTTTGTTTAGAATGAGCTCACTCCTCTCTTCACAAGATGGTTGTTTTTGTTGGCCTGCTGAACTTAAAATACATCTTTTTAAAAACTTGATTTATTTTTGTTTTAAGCCTCGTGGGTATGGAATGCCATTTAAGCCAAAATTAAATAAATACATAAATAATTAAATAAATACATATATATAAATATGCCTATGAAATAAATCCTGAAATAAATAAATGAGGCAATAAATATGTATACATGTACATTTAAATACACATTTATTTATTTCATGGGACTTTTATTTCATAATGACACATTTATTTATTTCAAGAGACTCGTATTTCATAATGACATATTTATTTATTTCAGATGACATGTATTTCATAATGACGCATTTATTTATTTCAGATGACATGTATTTCATAATGACGCATTTATTTATTTCATGTGACTTGTATTTCATGATGAGACATTTCCATTCCTTATATGCAAATGAACGTGGCGTGGTTAGCTCACAGATCCAGACCAAAGCAACAGCACCACAACACTGACTCAATAGCTTTTGTTTTACACTCCAGTACTCTTAAGTGGTTTGCAAACTGCCAATAAACCAAACCGGTTCAAGAACCATTCTTGTGCTTTTCTGGTGCTTAACTGGTTCTTCTCTGGTCTTATCTGGTCCGCCCAATGCTGCTCTTCTGAGAGCAACCGCTCTGACCGCTCTCTCTAGTCTCTACTGGGAAACAGCTAAAAGTCCTTCTGGAGGTAAGCAACGCTACACAATTACACCCAGTCTGAGAGTAAAAGATGTCTCGAAGGTTCATTTTGCTTTCTTACAACGTTAAGTTAATGTTAACGTAACCTTAAGTTTGCTAGGAGGCTATCGTTACGAGCTAGCTGTCTTAGCTAACAACAGTTAGCAGCTAACGTTTTCTGCAGTTTGTGTTGTCCCTGAAAAACGTGATGTAGTTATTTAAGGGTATGTTAAATTAACGTTTTTTTACAAGTTGAGAGAGTTAAGTTGTGTACATGAGTTGGGTCCAACATATACCTTGAGTAATGTTACTTTGCTGCTAAAAATGAAACATCATTATCAGATGAGGACATCACCAAAGTGTGTGAGCCTGTCAGGGGATTTGATCTGTTCTCTGCATGTCTTAAACACTGCTCTGGTATTACTTATCTTGTAAAATGTAAGTCTCCCGCTCTTGTCATCGTTCAGGCTTTGCATTTGAACTCCTATGACTGGTTGCGGACTTGAAGGGAACGCCTTCCTGACATCCAGGAAAAAGGTGAGATTCTAATACATTTGAATGCCAAAAGCAAGTTATTGTTTTTAACTTTTTAAATATGACTGTTTTGGGGCATTTCAGTTTTATTGGACAGGCAGTAGAGATCTACTGGAAACAGTGGAGAGGGAGGAGATGATATGCAGCATACGGCCCAGCCGGATGGTTGCTGCTCCGTGTGGAACGTGTCCTATCAGGTAAAGCACTTTGGTACCCAGTTATTTATGGTATTGAGTTTGAATTTAGCCTTTGGAGTGTAATTTCCAACAGTGCATTGTAAAGACTGAAAAAACAGCCTCAAGTTAAAGCTTGACATGATTTGGTCTTTTACTTAAGATGTTTGTCCTCCTGTGTTGTCTTATTTCCTTATCTTTCTTTCAGGTGTAACATCTACCAATGGTTGTACATAACAGAGACCTCCTCCACCTCTTTGCTGTCTTACTAGTCAATCCTTCTGATCAGGTCCTTTCCTAAATAGTGGTAAGTTTTACAGTTCAGTGTACGTTAATTTATCAACTTAATGCTTTACCGCTGTTGAATAAATCCTATATTGCTAGTCATTTTATTAAAACTACGATTTGTAAACTTTTTGATTCCAATTACAATAATCTTTTTGTTATAATTGTAAAACATATCTTAACATCCATCAGCAATCAATACAACAAATCATCCAACACTAAATAGAAGAAATCTGGACCTATTTCTTTTTATACAGCAGCATGTGTTGGGACTGCTCATTGATGTCATCAAGAGCCATTGAGGCTACCTTTTGTAGTCGGCCTCTTAGAATGTTTAGCATTTCTTTGTCTCTTAACATTCCTATAATAATTAGTTTTTTTATTGTTGATATTGTTTTGTTCTTTATTTTTGTTGTGAGAATCACTTTGCAATTATTGTGTAAGTGCTATATAAATAGTTATACTAATATTATTGTTGTTACTATTATTAATAATGTCTTCTTTGTTTTCTTTATTCATCGCTGCAGAAAGGATCATGCCAGCCCACATCAAACACCTGATCAAGAGCACTGCTGCAGACACCTGTGTGATATTCCACTCTGACTGGAACCCTCAAAATGACCTGCAGGTACGATATATATATCTGCTCTGTCCGTCCTAAAGATAGTTCAATAGGGCTACAACAACAACAGTCTTTCCGTTTATTCCCTCGGTTCTTTAAGTGTATATTTTCCCATTTAATGCTTAAAATCGTTGAACAGCAGCTGCACATGATGCTCTTTTGACCCCTCTTTTCATTTTTTATTTCAGGCTCAAGCTCGGTGTCATCGTTTTGGCCAGTCTAAGGCGGTGAAGGTGTACCATCTGATCACTAGAAACTATGAGAGGGAAATGCTGGATAAAGCTAGTCTGAAGCTCGGGCTGGACCGTCAACAACAACGGGGTGAGAAAAAGAAAATCTGTCATATTTCTAGATGCCAAGTCATCTTTGGGTCAGTCGCTGTTGCCGTACGCTTAGTTTATTTTCAAAAAGAGTTTTCTAAATCCACTTGTGTAAATGTCTCTCTGCGTCGCCTTTAGCCGGTCCAGCAGTTCTCCAAGAAGGAGATCGAGGACCTGCTGAGGAAAGGAGCCTACGCCACCATCATGGACGAGAACGACGAAGGCAATCGCTTCTGCTAGGAGGACATCGACCAGATCCTGCAGCGAAGAGCCACCATCATCACCATCACCAGGTATGTTCTTAGCAGCATTAGCCACTTGCTCTTTGTGAGACACCAAGTACTTGGTTATTTGAAATGTAATATTGATGATGTAATAATTAAAACTAGGGATGGGTACCGAGCCCCAGTATTAACGGGGCCCCGGGGCTGAATTATTAAAGACCGTGGTACCGTTAACGTCCAACGTTATCGATATTTTTATCGGTACGGGAGACATTTAAAAAATAGATGTCATATGTATTATATCTTAATAAACATTATATCGCAGTCTTACTGCAACTCCGTTTCTAATATGCAATAAGACTACAAAGTGCGTCTATGATTTATTTTCACACACACACACACACGTTACCCGTCTTGAGCATGGATGTATAATAAGAACTGGATACAGCGTCGGAGGAGGGGTCTCGTTCTTTCCTATGAGAGCTGCTCATTGGCGCATGAAGTCAAAATGGCCCAACTTTTGAGAGAGCGAAACGTCACAGATTACCCGTCATGCCTGGCTGTCAGAGCAGAAGAACCCGTTTGTGCGCTCACAGAGCATGCGCCCCTTAAGCCCCGCCCCCCGAGCACACACTCTCGGCTCACTAGAAAGAATGGAGAGAGAATAAATCTAGATTCGGCTTTTAGTGCATTTCACAACTTTAAGGACTTAATGATTCTAGGGCTATACAATAGTTCATACTGGGTAGTTTATTTAGTTTAAAAAAAATTATCCACCGAGTTACAGACGTCTCTTTCCCCATGTTAGTCAATGGGAAAAAGTATTTCTGGGCCGGTCGACGTCACAGACGAATATTTTCCTCAGAGTCCGGCACACTTCCTGGGGGCTTGTTCTTGAGGTGGAAAATGCTCGTTGCCAAAAGTGCAATAAGAATTTAGCATGTAAGGGCGGTAACACAAGCTATTTGTCTAAACATTTATCAAAAGTGCTCCACATTCAGACGGAGGAATGCACCGGGGTCGACTGTCTTTCTAGTAGCTCTGTAGCCCCATCCACGAGTAACGTTTCCACGTCAGGTGTTATGTATGCTAGCAGCAACACACGGAGTTAACTACATTATACAAACATGGGTTAATGATTAGAGGAAACTGAGTTATTTATTTTGTTAAAGTTTCAGCTATTCTGTTTACAATTCTATCACATAATTGAATACGATTTGTTAAAACATTGTTGTTTCTTATTTTCAGTTTGCTTCAAGCAGTGGCTGTACGAGAAAGACGTGGAGGACCAAGAAATGCTGGAACCGGAAGACCGGAAGATACATAACAGAGAAGATAATGGATATTAACAAGAAAAAGAAAACAAATGTTTATAATTTCTTTGTTGCGGTTTACATTTTGAATTATATTTGAATCAAATGCATCTATTTTAGATGATATATTTATTTAGATGTAGGTTTTTTTTGTAATATTATTGTATTAAGTATAATTTATTAAATAAAAATACTGTTATGAACACTATACAATGTCTTTATTTTGATAGTTACCAGAATACATTGTATATTTAATACTAACATAAACTGGTGATAGATAAATGCTGGTCTGCTGGTATGCCAGCAGACAAATATTTATTAAGACGGTATGGCTGGGGTCGGCTACACCCATACCAAGAAATGGCTTAGCCCCACCATGAAAAATGATGTTAAAGTAAGCAAAATAAAGTCCGCCAACTCGCGCAGAGAATTGCACAGACAGCAGTTAGTAAGATTGATTTCAGTAGCCACTTGTCTGGAAATACAGAAGACCAGAAACGGTTTTGAAAACTTTTGTCACGTAGTGATCGTCTTCTCAATAGAACATCTTTGATAATGTCTTCTGGCCAATCAGAATCAAGATAACGGCGTGGTGTTGTTGCAGGAAGTCCCGACGGAGAATACTTTTGCTGTAGTACAGGGGTGCACATAACTGGTACTCAGGTTATGTGCGTAATCTGAAATGCGTACCGTCACTTGTGTCACAAAGCGCATTTGCGTACCGACGTACTTGTGAAGCTTTTCCAGAAGGCGGTTAGATCACCGGACGACAGAGTCGGTCTCCGTGTGCACAGACAGGGCTGCTGTTAACGTCGGTCTGTACAACGGAATTGTGCCAAAACTACGCCAACCGGCGGCGGAGGGACACTCCCCCCCTTCACTGGAGAACTGCGCTAAAACAGCTGATCACAACGTTCACACTGGTCACGTGGTCACGAAGTACTCCACTAGCCGCCGCCCCCCCACCCCCCGTCGACTTTCCTGAAGTACTCCCCCGTTGATAGAAATCAACACGTAATGAATTAAGACCCCGCGGTTTGATGATTGATAGGTGCTCTCTTTCATTTTGACACGCAGAAAAATGTTACAATAAACATGTTAAATGGATATATCCGCCTTCTTTCATTTATCTTTCCATTCCCACAACAATATACATAAAGAAATGACATATTTTGGACATAGTTCGAATGGTGATTAATCATGATTAATACATTTTTAAGCTGTGATTAATCTGATTAAAAATTGTAATCGTTTGACAGCCCTAATTTATTTATTTTTGGATTAGATCATAGATACGTCCATGAGTTAAGAGATGGAATGATATCATGATTCACACTCATGTACAGTAGGTGGCGGTATGCACCTTAAAGTTGTTTGCAATCCGCCAAAAAACCGAGAGAAGAAGAAGTCAACTGGTTTGCCAACGGACAATTTACACCGAAGAAGAAGCGAACATTTCTGGCGGGTGAAATTTAGAGTATCAGATTACATGCGATGTCTGACTCTGAGAATTTAGTAGTTTGCCTTATAGTCCTTCTCCTCCATTTTCTTCCTCTTCTCGAGTAGTCAGTGTGGTGCTGTTGCTTTGGTCTGGGTCTCTGGACCTGTGAGCTAACCACGCCCTGTTCATTTGCATATAAGGAATGGAAATGTCTCATTATGAAATACAAGTCACCTGAAATAAATAAATATGTCATTATGAAATACAAGTCATCTGAAATAAATAAATATGTATTTAAATGTACATGTATACATATTTATTGCCTCATTTATTTATTTCAGAATTTATTTCATAGGCATATTTATTTATATATATGTATTTATTTAATTTTGGGTTAAATGGCATTCCATACATGGGGTGACACATGGTAATACAGACAGGTCAGCCACTGTAGCTTAATATCAGAATCAGAATTCCTTTATTATATATTATTTGTATAAACATTTTTAACAGTTTTGAGCTGCCATAAAAAGTGAATATGCTTTTAAAGAAACAACCATATTGCAGAGCTCCACAATACTATTCAGTTGTTGAATAGGGATAAATAGAAACAAGAGCAGTAGGACAAAACTCCAGACTCAACTTTATGACTAGCTTACACCAATATCTCTCATGAGAAACACAACGCATACTGCTGTTATATCACTGTTGAAATACAAGGGCAGTTTAATGTTTGGGACAGCAGGGGCCTATACTACGAAGCTGGTTCAACCTAACCTGGATATGTTTGAGTTAGCCGGTTGGCCTAATCCAAAACATACGCGCTCTCGCTAAACTGTACAACGACGCTGGTTATCAAGTGGATCGCTCAAGCCAGCCGTGTCCTATCTAGTTAGGTGCACGTTCACATGAAAGGGGTGGTATTTGGAGCATTCGACCAATCACAAACATGGAGAAGCGTACTGACAGCGCAGCGTCATACTTCCTGAATGAAAAGTGAACTTTAATATTAGACATATGAAGAAGTTAAACTTTAAACATCCATGACTTAAACACTTTATCCATCCATGACTTAAACACTTTATCCAGGATCAAAGCCACAGAGCTGCACCTGCAAGGTGAAAACAGCTGGTAACAGAACAAGTGTTTGAATGCGTACATTAACAGGTTTATGATATCACTGCCCGTCTAAAACACGATCTGACTTTAATTACATTTGACTCGAGTGTTTCGTCAACTTAATGTGTTGCTTAAAATAATACTTCTGCATACAGTATGTGACACTGTAGCCTAAGTGTTGCACGGCCAGATACGGCTCAAGAAGCTGACTCAGATAAGGAGATATATGATACATTATGAAGTGATATGATGTGATATGAATGATAATGGGACACATCGACGTCTGCACTCAGTGTACTTATGTTGTGGCAGATATTTAAGTAAGCTTTCTTAACGCTAATATTATAATAGTCAGATTGCTCTGAAGATGGGAGGTGATATTCTATTCATTTTCACGTTCACACAGTCGGTGATTTTTGCCGGTGTTCCGGATTAACTGGTTCCCTGATCAACTGGTTGACAGATGTGGAGGCGTGGCCTTCGACTGAAATACACATTTCGATCGCTTCTTCTGTCGTTTTCATAAATCTTTTGGTATATTTGGCTGGATAGGAACACTTTGATGCACATTCAGTACCAGTGTGTGAGGTTGTGGTTACGATGGCGATATCCGGACGCGAACAGCGAGGACTACAAAAAGAAAAACGAGTTGACTGGGGATGTATGTTCAAAACATTGCGAGCTCCAATAAATCCTTAAAACCAGCTATTGTTGCCAGACTTATTACAGAATATCGTTCTTAATGTGATACCAAGTCCAACTGAGACCTGTGTACACCTTCAGACAGCCTCCCAGTGAAGCACATGTTCTTTACTCAGAGTTTGAAAGCAGCGTGGAGAAGTCTTCAGCTGTGTTAAACTGTGATCCTCTCAGGTAAACTGTGATTCGCTCAGGTTAAACTGTGTTACGACTTCTGTGGCTATCTACCAGCGATCATGTTTAATATGAAAGACACACACATATACATCCCTTATAAAAACGGCATTCTGCAGCACTCATCCAGATAACATGCTGTTAACTCGTTTTGCAAAGATAGCAGCAGAAATATCATTGCTGCATGTGCAGGGATATTAGACTTTAAAATGCTGATGGGTCATTAATGTTGGTGTCGGCAAACAATATTAGGAATCCTTTATTCAAACCACATAATATTCAGTGTCCATCGACATGAAAATAACAAAAAAGTTCATGCTGGACTCAAACCCGAGTCCCAACAGCAAAAGTCACTCCAGCCCTGCGCGTTATGAGTGCGCCACGGATCAACACGATACCACGGTAAAACTAACACTTATCACAACATAATGTGGGCTCGCAGGCTGATAAACTAGGATATCTGATCTCGTGGGTCTTAATAGGCGCTTTCAGAGTGCGGTACTTTTCCCACAAAGGTTCATGTGAACTCTTTTATCGCGTTCACACCAAAAAGAGCCGGTACTAAAATTAGTTCATGAGAACCTTTTTACCCCCACGAAAGTCCCTGATAGAGAGCAGAGAGCTGCTAGAGAGCAGGGACTTTCGAGCGGCTCTCTTGTGAGAAAAGAGCTACATTTCTGATTGGCTGGAAGGATTGCAAACCACGCCCCGTAAAACTCCCAAAAAGTTTTGTGAAGCCGCCATTTTATTATCCTCGCATTAGCATTATTAGCATTAGCCCAGCGCAGAAACACAGAGAGACTAATTTATGGCAACACAAAATAAAACATGGGAGCGGTGGAGATGAGGAGGTGTCGGCGTTCTGGCGATTTACTCGGAAGGCTTCAGTAGAAGCTGCTGGGACTCCCAGCAGCTTCTACTGAAGCCAGTCCCCAACTCCGGGGACTTCCGGCCGGGGACTTTGGGCGGCAGTATACGCCGTGAAGTGGTTTGCGGCCTGCCAGTAAACCCAAAGCAGAAGAAGAACAAGTGACGTCAGCGGCTTCATTTGCCTAATCCACCCCCAGGGACTTTTTCCAGTGTGAACGCGATCTGTACTTAGTTCATGAGAACTAAAGAGTTCTCATGAACTAAGTTCACATGAACCTTTGTGGGAAAAGTACCGCAGTGTGAAAGCGCCTATTGAGGCTTGATACAGACCTCAGTCAGAATACTATATTATAATATGTATATTATATGGCTTAAAGTGTACATACATTCGCTCACATTATAAATGATGGTCGGGTTGCATTTTTCTGGAACTTTTTAACAAGGTCAATCTAAAATATTATAGTGTGGTAGTTCAATACGTCGTGTTGATCTGTGGCGCACTCATAACGCGCAGGGCTGGAGTGACTTTTGCTGTTGGGACTCGGGTTTGAGTCCAGCATGAACTTTTTTGTTATTTTCATGTCGATGGACACTGAATATTATGTGGTTTGAATAAAGGATTCCTAATATTGTTTGCCGACACCAACATTAATGACCCATCAGCATTTTAAAGTCTAATATCCCTGCACATGCAGCAATGACATTTCTGCTGCTATCTTTGCAAAACGAGTTAACAGCATGTTATCTGGATGAGTGCTGCAGAATGCCGTTTTTATAAGGGATGTATATGTGTGTGTCTTTCATATTAAACATGATTGCTGGTAGATGGCCACA